GAAATGTCCAGTTTTGACTTGATTGGTGTATTTTTAACCCCTATTCTCCGAATAGGCTGAAATTTTGCATCAATAATCCCCATATTGAAAAACTACCGTATTTTTAAGCACCAGTCCGCAATGTTGTTTTGGGGGTAGTTTTTAAAGGTTTCTCCGAACGGGTTGAAATTTTGTTTCAACAATCTTCGTATTGAGAAATAAGCAAATATCGAGTTTTGATTTGATTGGAGCATTTTTAACCCCCAGTCTGCAAGATAATCTGTGGTCTGCAAATTAGAAACGCCTCCCAATCATAAAATTTATAAGATAATTAGGTACTCTAAAATTTATATGTTTCGATAATTTTTGTTTATTGGATTCTAAACCAGTGTGAACTGGTGTCTTTACAGAAAACAATAAAAATAATTCACACAGATTGGAAATGCACTGCAAAACCAACAGTTGCTGTCAACAGACTAACAATAACAAGTACAATAAGCTAGGAGTATGCGATTATTTAACTCAGTGCAAGATATATAATTTTTTCCAAACAGAATAGACTCTTTTGTGATAACGTTATCTTCAGTATTAAATGCGATTTTTTCATTGTGTAACATAACATTAGATAATGTTATGAAACTATAAAGTTATACAGGACTTTCATAAATGATTCTAACAACCAAGTGATAAGCAAACTGATTTGAACCGCCTCTTTAGGATTGTGGATTGTTTAATTAGAATGGAAGCAAAACTTCAAATGTCATAATTATTCTGAGGAATGATATCGCAGTCATATTATTTAAAATAAAAAAATTGCAATAGTTCTAAATTTATGAACGCCATGTACCTACTTATGCGTTTATCTCAGTAACATGTTAAATAAAGTGTAAGGATAGGAAGATATGGAGACAAAGTGACAAATACAGCAAACAAATGCACACAGTAACGAAAGTACGAAAAAAGATAATGAACTCAGCAAATGGAGTACAATGCCAAGGGAATGATACCCATGATATATAGATTGATGATGATGATGATGATGATAATATGTAGAACAGATAGAACGGATAGAAATTTTGAAATTCTTTAAAAGACTTTTGATTGACTTGAAGGGGAAAAAGAATTTAGTAAATTGTAAATATATTTTTTAAATTACATTTCCTGCATTTTTAACGGATTTTGATAGACCATTAAATTATAATTGCAATAATATATAAAACATTTTGAGGGTGATTCGTGCTTCCGAGGTTTACGATGCGTAAGCATAGCAAGTATGATATAATTAAAAGTGACATTGCAAGTCAAAGTAAATATGCATAAAAATAATATAAAACATTTTGATATTCGTTTCATTTCCAGTCGATAAAAAATAAAATATACTTAATTATATACTTGTGGCGACTTCAACCCTTTGTATATAGGCCACAGAGACTACTACGCGACTCAGCAATTGGTCAAACGACAACGCAGGCGCCCAGAAGAGAAGATGCACCGAAAAGAAACCGAAACTCTCTCTTGGGTCTAGGACACGATACCTATAAGACGTCGATTCTGTACAATTTTTATCGTGTAAATATCTGTGAATGAAGCTTGTTAAACCATAAGTATTTCGTTCCTCCTTGAATTAGTATAAACCGAAAACGTGAGTACCAAAAATAACTAAATACATACTTGTAAGATAGGTTTTGACTTAACATATGTTTCCCTTCATATTTTTTTATATTTGGGGTGTAAAAGCATGCAGTTAAAGGTCGATTTATAAACTTGACGCTGACGTTGCCGTTGGAAGATAAATATACAGTAAAGGTATGCATTGTTTATATCATCCGTTGACGTTGCCGTTGGAAGTTGGCACGCCGTTGGGATGACGTTCGCGATGACCAACATAGAAGATATAACATGGCGTACAGAAAAGTTGACCGAACTTCAACTTTAGCGTATTCTTATGCTATGTTTCCTATGCACAGCCAATCAGCATTCGTTCGTCCCCCCTTCGGCTATACGGTGGTACGCGGCTTATTTCTGTTTCTAACCTAGATAAGTTCTAAACTCTAAACTCATTTTAATTCAGAAGAAGCAGAATGGATGACGGAATCAATTATCAGCGGATACAACATTATTATAACTTCTAACCTCAAGTTTGACCGCGAATGACAGTTATAATATAAACAAGATACGAAAAGAGAAACGCGCATGTCAAAAACATAAATTTACGTGAATTACAAAGCCATTGTGAGCGGATAGGTTTGGTGCAGGGGCGGCTGGTCAGGGGCGGCAGGGTCGGCCACGCCGTACCAGTCATTTTAAAATACTTATTAGTAAGCGTTGAAATTAGAAAACAAAAAAAGAAATAAAGTTTGAATGTACGTTAGGATAGATCATATATATTAAAAATATATTTTATTATATTGTAGGTACAAAATAAAGCATTTGTTGCTAATTTTAAATGCTGATAAACACGCTTTGCCGGCGAGATTTCGGCACGCCGTATCCAGGAATGCATTATGCTCGATGTTTCGACTTCGTAGCAGCTTACGGTTTCATCGTTCTCTTTGTCTAGTCCACTGTAGTAGACAAAGACCTGGCGGAACGTATGTTGTGCCAGGTCCGGCGAAATCCTCCTTCGCCGTACCCAGCAACGCGAATTTAGTTTTTAAAACGCTTAATATTTAAGATGGCTAACCAAATTACAAAACAATAACGGCTTCGATGTTCTTCAGTGCATACTATTTTTTTTTAATAATAATTGTCGATTTAATACATTTTCCTGTGTATGAATAATAAACGAAAAAAATTACATTAAATTATCTAAAATTTTATTTTTCGTACATAACTTAGCTACAACATAAATGCGCTTTTTCTGTATTTTTAGCATCTAAGCGTTTTCAGATATTTCAGAAACGAATTTAAAGTTTTAAATCATTTTAATTTTTCAATTATTCAATTAATTTATTTGACAATTTGTCATATACATTTAAAAAAAAAATGTAAATGAAGATAGTTAACAGTTGGTACTTTTATTATTACTTTTTTTTATATTTTTTAACTGCATGTCATTATTTAATTATTATTATTTAATTGTGGATGTACGGGGTCGGCAAGCCGTATAGCCGCCGGTCGACGCGGAACTCAGTAAAAATAATGTTTTCGGTGGTTCTCAATTAATGATAAAGCAGAACAAGTAGAATTAAGGATTAATAGTATTTGGAATCAAACTGACATTGTCAATTTCCTATAAAAAATTATTTTAACAGGTCGAAACATTTGAGATGTTTTGTACATCCTGGCACGTAAAATGTCAGTGGTTAATGAGTAGCAGCCATACATTACGAAAATATATAACACCAAGGTGTAGACTCAAAATATTTGGCCGACCCGAAATTTTGACCCACCAGCCGCCACTGGTTTGGTGGTATATAGACTTTCTATGTTATGTCTTTTTGTCATGTTACGTATGCTAAGTGGATGTGAACGAGGTTTTACACTTGAGCGAAACAACTCTGAGATTATCGCAATCGCAGGCAAAAACAGAAACACGTGTGACTCAAAAAGTAGATCTGATTGGGGTTGATTGGTTGGCTGTGTTTCTTTTGGGGGAGTGCAACTAAAAAGTCCTGGATAAAGATTTCAGTTTTAAAAGTGTTATCAATGAGTTATCGGTTCTTGAGGGTGTGGTGATGTGAGCGAGATTTCACAAGGGTGTAATCCGTACTGATAATCATCATAAAATCTAATTGGATAATAATCTGCAATAATTCGGTGAGTCCGTTCCCTATCATTACTGCTGTATTTGACCTGATTATTGATAAGTGGTACCGAGTCAGTTGTCAAATACGAGTAATGTTAACAGAATTTGAGAGAAATTGAGAATGTAATAATTGATGAAATGAGCCTTGACATGTCGAGCTAACTCAATTAGCTGTCCGCCTTCCTGTGTTACCTAACTGGCAACTCGAGGTAGTATGTGGGGCCGGTGAGGGCGCGTATTTACCCCCTTGCCATTGCACAGTCCGGTACTACCCGTTTTTGTGTGAACTATCTGTTGTAGCGGATAGCCTCCTGTTGTTGCGGGGGAAGTGTCTGTTTGTGGCGGACAGAGTTGTCAGTGGGACATCTTGCGCGTCTTTAATTTTTCCCTTGATGTCCGTGGTCAAAGGACTGGTTATCAAAGTGGGCACCTCGCGCGTCTTCAGTTTTTCCCTTGGTGCCCCTGCACTCTTTGATACTAGACCTGGGATAGTAACTGGAGCGGGGGCGTCGTGCGCCTTTTTCCCCTCGCCCCATTGCACGACTCAGTACTAGTCGCCATTGTCGAAAGCGAGGGTGAGTACTTCGCGCGGTATTCCCTTAGTACTCATTGCACACTCCGTATCAGACGATAGAGACCGTTTTGACTCCAACCTCTTGAACAGAGCTCATTGCTGAATAATTTGTGAAGTAAATCAGTCTTATGCAGATCATAATAAAATGGTACTGAACTTGTTAATTATCAATTAATTAAAAAGACACGGACTCGCTGGTAATAAATATCACTAAAGTAGCAGATTGCATCCGGCAATCTTGGGGATCGATGTCTTATACCTCCCTTTGCATTTTTGCAGGTTGAGTAATTGTTGATAAAACCGATTCACCTCGACACCGGCCTAACTGACAAGGAAATAATAAAAGTGAGTTTATAATTTATGTTATATCAAAAACTGACGTTTGATAATGTGGATAAATGGTAAAGAAATAATGTAACGCCCTCACGCACACTCACATAAAAAAAATGTTTTCTTCGAAATTTTTCTCTCCTACATACTTATATACATATTATAAATATATACAAAACTGGAGTTGAGTGAAATAAAGAAGGTACTACCAATTTATTTTACAAACATTGAGTAAAATCTATTTTGGGACACCTGTATTTATTAGCAAGTTGTTTTGTGTAACAAATAAGTATTGTATTGAGCCATAGGGGGTTGTTATCACACAAAAACAAAGATAACAAACCCGATGGTCTCCCCTTGATGACCTTTGTTAAGTCACGTGTTGCGCAAGAATCGTGCGTTATAAATTCAACACCATCTGCAACCTCCATCTTTCAAAGTCCAAGTCAATAGATAACATTTTATTTGTGCAAACGTATGTAAATCGTGGTTTAGAGCCGAGTTAACTGTTTCATTACTTGTCTTGGATTTTAGGAAAAGGAAAAAGATGTACAAAACGCAAAACGGAGATACCTTTGATTCCAACAACCCCTACTGTAATTACCGGTCACCCCTTAGCACGAGGTATGCGAGTAAAGATATGCAGTACAATTTTAGTGAGCAAAAGAAATTTTCCACGTGGAGGCGATTATGGATAAATTTAGCCAAAGCTGAGCAGGTGAGTGCTTCAGAAATTCTTATTCTTGAAAAGTTAGGTTATGTTATGGTGATTATTGGGAAATTTTTGAAATTTGTACCCGGAAAATTTATATTGTGTCAGTTTATCCCTTTTAAGAATAATCTGGTAACTTAATTTTATAAATATGCATTTATTTGTTAAAATTAAATGTGAATGATTATTATCGGTGGGAGAAGATTTAGTATTGGCATATTCGATTTTTTGATGCCTAATTTTGGGTATAATGGTTGTGCGGTGTGATTTGTAGTTTAAAAAGTATAATTCCACAAAAATCTAGAATATCTGGTTGTTAGAGCCGTTCGGAGTTACTAAGATTTTGCGTGTTTTATTGGTTGCCTATACTATGTTAGAATATTGATAGGAGTTTTCGGTTTTTCTCACTTCTTTAATATTATTGTTCTAAATTTCTCTTAGAAAAATTATTTAGCAAGTTTTCAACTGTGTAACTTTAATTCGTATGTTCAAAGTTAAATAATTGGTGCGCACACTTGTAAAAACAACGATTTAAAAAATTGTCTATAAATTCACGGTTTTTGGTAGAATACTGGAGCACTTGAAACAATGACCAGTGTATTCTTTTTTTCTGGAGGATGAGATAGAACCAAGGTGTTTCATATATCCATTCCTCTAATATTTCTCATTTCTCAACGCATCTTAATATGTATACTTGGTTGCGTACTCAAGTACTTTTATAATCGATAACACTAATAATATAATCATTACCCAGAAACAAAATGTGACGAACTTATGGAACAATTTTTTTATTTGATGAACAATATTCGTCAGCCTAAGAGATATTTAATAAATTAATTCAGTCAATGACCTTACCTGTAAACCTTCGTAGTAAACTCAAGATAGAAAGCTCAAATTAGGGTAGCAATTTTTTTTCGAAATTTTTAAAGTACAGTTCTTGAAAACAATATGCAGATATTTGTTTTCTGGAAAAATCTAGTACCATTTGAATTGTTTAAGTCAATATCACTAATTCTCACTAATGATTGGCTTCAGCAATCGTACAAATAACAAAAAAGTGAAAAATTCGCATTTTGTAGTAAAAAAATCCATTGTTATATTGATAAAATTATCAAATCTGTTTTTTAATTTTATCGCCTAACATGTGGCTGTACTCACATTTTATTTTATAATCAAGAAAATCTGTTTTGAAAGTAGTTATTTTAGAATGTGTTCGAACTGTCGTAAAATTTATTTCACTCAACTTGAATTTTTTTATATTTATAAATTTTATATTTTTTATAAACTGAAAATGAAATGTAGTAAGTGTTGTATATTATTGTAATCGCAATTTAACGGTCTATTAATATCGGTTAAAAAAAGATACCTACGTTGCAATTCAAAAAAATATAGGTATGCGTCGTAACACGGATACCGTATATGCCTCATGTAGTAAAATATATACTAAATTAAGCTCACCCCTTCAAGCTAAAAACAATGACGTTTACAGAATTATAATATCTTGTATATTAAAATAAAAAATAATTCGGTAACGACGTTTTTTGACGCATATTAATAACTTTTTGCGATGCAGGAAATGAATGAATAGGTTTTACTCGTTGTGCTGTTATCATTAAATTAATGTTAGTAAGTATCTTACTAAAATTTCTTTCGTCGTAGATTCTAACTCAAACGTAAAATTTTTATTTCATTTCTGTGATTATACGTATGACGGTACAATAAAGAAAAATGGGAACACATTATTAAATCACAAATAATCACATTGTAAATATCAAGTTTATTTTTATGTAATATTAAATTTTGAGATGACGTCAACAGTTACGAACAGGCAAATTCTGGATAGTAATTTACTATGTTAACGACAATGTTTTCTAATTTATAAGTTAAACTGTGAAAGTTTTTTCTGCAATTTTCGATTTTTTTTTTTAGAAAAAATAAGGGTCGATTAATAAATCACTTTCATAGATCATCCCCGAGGGATAAAAATGTTTGACGGCATCTTATCACCAAATCAACAAATAAAAACGATCTAGTTAATCTGGAATCTCCAGTGACTTATTTTTGCGTTTTGTCTTATTTTTATGTATACAAGCGTCATTCATTTTACGCGGTATTTTATATATAAATATCTATACTGCTTACTTTGTTAAATATACTAACAACACTGTAAATTACTGTAAAATTTGTTTATTTTTAAGTAAGAGTAGTGTATAAAATAAGTTCTAAAAATGTAACCGTGCAACAGTTACACTTCGAAGTTCACAGCTTTTTTAATATTGAAAAACAAATCGAGACCATACAGCAAAGAATTTGCGTAACTTAAAATAGCCTGCGCAAGAAGTAGCGCTTGCGGTATATCCATATCAGGCGTAAGGGATTTTTTACTGGACCATACCGTGATTGAAATTGTGGCTGATATAAAATATAAAATCATTCCGATTGACAAAAACGCCCTTGTTACAACATCGGGCATAATTTGGCCGAATATGTAACTCATAATTATAACAGAAGTTATTATTATGTAGCTGCCAAAAACCACATGTGGAAAACACACATAAGGTAAAGTCTCTGCCGATATAGTTACTCCTTTAGTGTAAAAAGCCACGCAAATAATACCAGTCGCCTAAAAATAGAAAAATTGAAATTTATTGAAATGCACGAATGTAACCTTACCAACTGAGTAATTTTTAGCACAAAATCTTTGCTGTAAAAATTGTACGTTGGTGGCGAAGAAGTAGAAATATTACAGGCCATGTTGATGTTGGAGTCCACACTAAAAAACCTCAATAATGCTTCTCTGTTGGATCTGTTTAGTTGATCGTCTTCCCCTGTTGACTGGGTTATGGTCACTTCGGCCATTTCTTTGACTTGCACGTTTAAACTGAATATTTTACAGAAAATTCGAAAATGTTTATCTTTTAGCACCTTTGCGATTTGTTTATTTACGAAGCGGAAATGTAGGTGGTGTTCATTTATTTTCACGAACAGGGATATTTCTTTCAAAATATGTATTTGTATTAAAATAAAATATAACAAAGTTATGTTTTCGTAACATGAAGTAGCCAATTTAGTATCACTACAATTCCTTCCTTATAAAGGTAAATCTGTTCTTTGAACATCAAACACCCTGATCGTTCGTGTTTCACTTGCTTTTACACCAAGTCGTTCCCGGTATCTCTGGGGAAAATGAACTCTACAGTTTCCGTTTCCACAAATCTATCACTTATCACACTGTGTAGTGTACTGCGAAAATAGCTTTTGCTGGATGTTGGAAAGTAGAACGTTGGTCATACCGTAGTTGAGGTGTGCTGCGAGGGAAAAATATCTGCTGGCATTTCTCGATTATCCCAGTGTGACGGAATAGCGTGTGATTCATATTTACATTCTGAAAAACTTGGCAGTGAAACCACAGGAGTTTCCGTATACAAACAAATCCCTGTTGACCACGTGTTGGGGCTAAAGGTGGAAGTGGCTGAACAAGGTGGGGGTTGAGCGCATGGTGATTTTGATCACGTAGTAGAGTAGCTAGAAGTAAGTGAAAATTACTGCAATATTCTTTATTAATTTTTTAGCACGTGACTTACCGGCAACCTCAGAAAAATTTGGGTATTGACAAGTTTCGTTGACGGACTCGGCAAATTGTAAACCTGTTTTAGCATAATTAAAGGAATGTTACATTATTTACTTTTTGAAGTTACAACTTAAAACAGTTGCAAGGTAAAAACAAAACATTCTGTTTATTTTACATATTTACATATGGTTTTACTCGTGTACGTATCCTTATGTACACGAGTAAAACGCAAACCACTTACAGTCACCAGCACAAAACTACTGTCTTCGTTGTCGAATTATAAATGAGTTATAAGGTCCAGAATAGTCGTAAAGGGTACTTATCTTCAATGTTTGTAACATGTTCTACGCATTTGGACAATTCCTTTTTTGACAAAGTCATGACTTGATTTTTAATTAGTTCGATAGCTTCCGTGTTAAATTTTGGACTGACGATATTGCTTCAAATTCTTCTTTTTAAATACCCCAAATCATGTTTGTCGTTGCCCACCAAAAAATTATTTTTCCTATTTTCGATTCACTAGTCATGACTTAAGATTTTTTCTCTTTGTACACGTGTAGTAACATATTTTTTAAATTGCTTCCCATTTCTTTTCTACTGATACTGAATTCGAAAATTGTGGTTTTTTAAAATTTTATAACCAACCAAAAATTATAATGGCTTTAATGGTTCCACCAATTTTGTGGTGGAACTTTTTTTGTTTTTAATTTTAGTAAAAATAAGGTTCTTCGTTCTAACCCGATTTATGCATCTAACATCTAACATAAGAATTGATGCAATTATATCTCAGGGACGAGGAACATTCTGGCTAAAAATTCTATACTTTTTATAATTTACGTGCGGGGATGTTATAATCTACCAGTAATAGTATCAAATATATATAATCTAATCTTCATAATGTACTTTCGATAAGTTTATTTTCTTCTTTTTGAATGATGGTGATGATTTTTGAAATTGTCTTAACTTTTATTGTTTCTGGATTCAGCAGTACTAAAGCCTAGGTGTTGAAGTAAATGAAGCAACTTTGTGAAAAATATAAGCTCTGTTATTTACTTATTATTCTGAAATTGGTTTCACAGATTTTCGCTAACAAGCACTTTAATGTTTTTTATTAATTAATATTTTTATTCCATTCTTCAGAGAGGCATTTTGTGACGATAACAACGGCAACCTAATGTACAGAGGCTTTGAAATGAACTACATCACCCAATACTGAATCACCTCCCTATAAATCAGAAGCAAAAGAGTGTTGGTTGCCTACATTTACAAAAATGTGTTGCTTATATTGGATAATTTATCACAAAAATAAAAATAACTTCTGTGTAGGTAATATATCCTATATTTTACTTCAAAATGCGTTATAGATTTATCTTAAAAATTAATTTGTTTTTTTATTTGTCGTTTCGTATTGTGTTTTAAAGGAAAGTTTTAAATTTAACATAAAATCTTCATGTGCGTAAGGGTCAAAAAAATTTCACAAACGGACAGATTTGCTTAGTTATAATATAATTGGTCAAAATATAAGATATTAAAAAGTTATATAAATTTTCTAAAATAAATAAACTAAAAAAGTAAGCGAATTCATCAACCTTACTGCTTAAAATAACAAAACATCTACCTATTATTACGATTTGGTCCTTGTAATTGTACATTCATTTTTTGGACATCGGATGCTTTAACCATTCGTGTTTCACTCGTTTGTACCGAGTCGTTACCCATGGATATTTGAGAAGCTTGACCTTGGTAATCGTCTCTACAAATGCAAGCTTGCTCGCCCATTGCAGTGTACTGCAAAAACAACTTGTATTAAATAATACTAAGTACAGCGTTGACAATACTTCAGTGGAGGTTTCCTGCGAAATAGGAAATTCAGTTGGTGTTGTACGATCGTCCCAGGTTGAGTGCATTTCCGATTCACATTCACATTCTGAGATAGTTTGCAGTCCAGGAGTGTCCCTGACGGGTGGCGGTGTTTTTGGTTGCGGCGGTGCACCTATGCTTGTTTGACTCACAAGATTAGCTGATCTTGGGCTATGACAAGTACAAGGAGGAAGTTCTGCAAGAGCCACAGAAGAAATAAGTCCTTCCGTCGTTGAAACCGTTTGATAATGCATTTTTCCACATGTACATTGCCTTTGCATTACCTGATGGTACATCGCCTGTGGTTGTTGTTGATATTTTATAGCACATCTGAAAATAAGTTATTAGGTAAATTAAAGTGGCCTTCAATATATTACTCACGTAGCAGATTCGGCACTTTTACAAGGTCTTTGTGTAGAGATTTTTGCGTCGGAAGATGTGGGCGCACTTCCGGGTTTTTGCTGTCTCGGTTTTGGAACCATCCTTGTAGATACGGCTACTGTTCTAGAACACACTGGGCTGACGCTTGGACTTCTTTGTGGCACCGGGCTCAAAGAACGCGATTTTTCGTGTACATTTTGTTTTTTACCTCCGCAACACTTAGCTTTTCGCTTCTCTGGATATCGATGCACCGGAGTTCCATCGAGGTTGTACAGTTCCCCACGGGGCCCTTGATACATTCGGACACCGTTAGGAGTTACTATTTCTGTGACGGGCGTACCATCTGCCAGGTACGTTGCTTGCGGGTTTGTTGGTTGGGAGCAAGGATTCATACAAGATCGTACGTCCTCGACCCTATGTATTCTTGGGTCAGAAGCTATCCGTGTTTCATCCATTTGTTGTTGATCTGTTGGTAAATAACAAGGACCGGTACATTCACGAGGTTGAATATCCAGGGGTCTATGTATTCTTGAGTCCGAAACTATCGGTGTTTCATCCATTTGTTCTGGGTCTGTTGGTGAATAGCAAGGACCACATTCACGAGGTCGTGCATCCCCAGCTTTATATGTTATTGGGTCAGGAGCTATCGGTATTCCATCACTTGTGTACATTACACCATGCGGGTCTAAGTAGTAGACATCTCCGTTGCGCTGTATTACCTCATTCAGGGGTGTCTCATCTGCCAAATACATCCTGCCGTCAGATCCTTTATGCAACCGACCACTTGTTGTCGTTGTTAATGTTTGCGATCCACTTGGACGAATATTTTTCCGCCGAGATTCACAGCGGGCTAGAGGCGCATTATCACAAGTTTTTTCAGGACTTGGTAGGGGGGTTTCATCTTTAGCCACAGGGAATGTGCCTCCGTATGAAATGCAGCTTCTGTTCCTACATAGCTGTGTAGTATATGGATATGGTTGTACGGCGGTGTGGTGCGTAACAGTCGTTTCTGATAGGGGTGTTTTAGACCTTTTCGCCTTTACCTCGTGGTACGAATATTTCGGCCGTACTTCTTGCCCTCTTTTCTTTAGAAATCTGAAATTTAGGAGATGTATTGTAAAATACATTCACTTTCATTTCTATACTCACAAGAGAATGAACAGAACTTCAAATAAAAATACATTGGCAGTTAATGCAAATAGTACAATAGCGATAATTGGTAATATCCCAAATTTAGCAAGCGTTCCCATCAACATTCCAACAGTTAAATAAAACATTAAGGACCCAGCCATGGCGAATAAAATCCATTTGTTCCAGTGCATTGGATTCCGGTAACAATTTGCAATTACATCTACTATAGTAATAAATGCAAATGCTGATGCTACCACAAGTATTAAAACTTTTGTAACCATAGGTAAATGTAATGTTGAGTAGAGCAAACCTGCTAGTATCAAACATATGAGACATAATACCTAAAATCATTTCATTTTAAAATCACGTAATAATTTTTTAACACGCGTATAGGAGTTACCATCTCAACTACACGGATAGGGTTCCCAGCATAATTTACTGGGTCATAAACTTCGTAACGATTTCTAAAACATCTGTACATTTTTGAAAATATTTTCTGACATTGACGTTAATGCTTCAAGGTAACACTACTATTTTGTTGTGTGTGATTGTTATAATAGGTAGGATTTATCTTTGAATTTTACATAAGTATGTGTGGGTGAAAAAAAAAAAGAGAAGATTTATTAAATACACATGTTAAAAAATTAGTGTAAGGAACTACCTCCTCTTTATAAAGTAAATACTACACGCACGTTGCAGTGAAAACTTAGTGACAAAATGGATTTTCAACAATAGCTGAGGGACGTAGGATAATACTTAGCGACAAATATAGGTCATTTGTGTCAAAACTTTCATATTTAACAACATTTGCAATTTTAGTTTGGTAACTACTTGGGTAACAAGTAATAATAGAGGTTAACAGTATTATTATTTGTCTGTCACGTCGAATGATCATATCCACATTAAATCCTGTCAACTGTATTCTTGACACTCTACTAGGTTTACCAACAATTCTTATAAATACATATCCATATTTTTTTAGTAGCTGTTGCTTTCTATCTTTCTGTCGTTTTGTATGGACTTCAGAAGAAAAAATTACCAGTACTGGAAAATTGATACAATTGCATCGTATCGGCCACATGTGGCCGAAATACCAGAAGTCCTGACTATTAAATGACACTAAATTTAGTTTTACCTTGCAAAGAAAAAACAATATGAAAATTACAACCTACTCTTTTCAATCCAAGATTTTGCAGGTTAATAACGATCGTTCAACAATGAAAAGTTTGCATTCGCAAATTTTTCTGGAGATATTAAAAGATAACTGGAGGTATAGACTTGCTATTATTATCATAATGATTTTGGAAAGGACTGAACGTTGAAAAATATCTGCCACATTTGAGATATCTGTCTGAGAATATAATTCATGTATCACATGACCCCATTTCTTCCAATAAGATTTGTTCATGCCCTTAGTTACATGTCTATCACAGCGATAATAATTTTATTGCCTTATTGTGGTCTGTTGCTACCTAAATTTAAAAACTGTCAAGTTGACAAATTTTAGAATTTCATAAATTTTTTCGTCTTTTATGGCTTGCCAACGTTGGAGGCAAGCTCAAAACGACGAAATCAATTTTGTTATCAAAAAATGTGTTCATTTATTATATTCTCATGTTGAATATAACTCGTGATATGATTAATAATCGAAGATATGGCTCGTGAAACCGAAGCAGCACATTCAACTCGAGCTTCGCACTCGTTAAATCTGCAGCTCGGTTTCACTCGAAATATTATCGATAATAATCATATCACTTGTTATATTATAATTGATAATTATTTATTATTCTAGAAATTCTTTTTATGAATTTATCAAGTGACATACCAGACAAAAATTACGATCTTATGAGTATGTATTAAATATAGAGTTTCTATAAATGATTATAGGGTCGCAGTAGGTCATGTAAACGTGCCGCCTCTCAGATTTAACTGTACGGAGATCCGTACTAAGTACCCAAGGACGCATGACAAATATCACACATATGTATAACTGGTTGCCTAAACGCTTCATATGTTTTTAAAAAATAAAACTAATTCATTACGATAAAAAGAAACAAATTTATTGCGGTTAAACATCACAGTAAATATTGAAAATGTTCATCACTGTGTTCAAGGCACATGTTCATTCTCATTTTAATTTCAAAAATGTTCTGTAACATCCTTTCATCAATACTCTGGACCCGTTGTTCAATTGTTCAATTCTGCTCAAGTCGTCTCAAATCATCAACAATTTCCACAGATGAAGTCTTCCACGAGATTTCTCTTTGTTGATACTGCCAGTTCGAACAAATCTGCTGATTACATCTCTAATGTGGGCCTTTAACGATGTATCTTGAATTATTAAATCACAGTATTTGGTCAGATATTCTTGCTAACAAGCGATTACAGAATACACCTATTCTTCGTTTACGAAATCCCATTGGGATAACAAGACATAACGATGAAAGAAGTGTGTTGTTCAACAGAATAAACCATTTTCACAGTCTTCGCTTCCTAGCACAAAAACAAATTTTTCGCAAGCAACCACCAAGAGTTCTGAAAATGACTTTTTTGTAGAGATGTACCGACTGCAGTCGGCCGACTGTTTATAAATGCAACAGACAGTGGGTTTTTTTTTCTATTTCTCTGACTACCTTAAAAACTTGTTTTATTTTAATAAAAGGAATAACTGAAGTTTCTTTTTTTTCCAAAAAATGTGTTAAATTTTTTTGGATAATTTTAACATTTAATTTTTTGTAGTAACTCGGTACAAAAATAAAGAATAACACAATTTAGGGTAGTTTATACAATACTTAACCAATTTTAACCACTTTTTTGGAAAATTTTTGAAAATTTTGAATTCGCTTTGCGTGTTTATTGGACCATATATCGTGACGGCGATTTCAGAATCGTAACTAGCGGAAGATTATCTACACTTTGAGACCAATTTTCGGTCGATTAAACTAATTTTAACCGGTTTTGACAAAGCCGACTAGTCGGCCGACTGTAGTCGGTACATCTCTACTTTTTTGTTGTTTTGAGTTTGGATCAACGAGAATTACTGTAATTCGCACTTGAAAAACATTAAGACAATAAAAACAACGAGTTAAATGACAGGTTACAACTGACAGTAGACATTAATGTGACAAGTGAGAACTACAGGTATCAAAGTAGTACAGAATACAGAAATCGGACACTTATGTTGAGGCAGAGGGTTACGTTCATCTCCACAACACCGAAATCACAACAAATATTTGTCGAAGCGTTTCGCCAACCACGTTGGCATTGTCTAGACAAATTTACAAATATCTTTATGCGTCAGGTTAAAAATATTGAGAGGTCATTAAATCACAAATAAAGCAGCAAGTCATAATATGAAACAGAATCAAATAGATAAATTTTGGTTAGTACTTTACCGTCTATACGAAAATGTTAAAGAATATTTAAAATAATACAGTGATTAATCCAGATAGACAAGCGGACAAAAGGTCGGAAATTAGTTTTTGCGTTTTATAAAAAAAAATCTCTTACCTTTGTAAGTTAGTTAATTTTTCTTCATCTCAAATTTATGATGAAAATATTTTATTAAACTTTTGCTTAGTAAACCCTGAAAGTTGTTAAATGTGATAGCACAATTATGTAGAGTGAACAGAATAAATGCAATCTTTATTGTTATGTACATTTTTACATTTATTTTACAAAAATGGACGGATTTCGATAATCTATGAAAAATATACAAATCTTACTTTAAACAAAAACTATTCTTAATTTTATTTGTTAAATGAAATAAATTTATAAGTCCTGCCGCCTCATACAAGTGAACACTGCTTCAATGGTAAAAACAGTGGCATTCACGAATGACAAACAAATCGAAATTGTCATCATACTCAATTGATATTGTCTGGGGTGAAAAATCTTCCCACTGAATTTCAATCTGTCAACCGTTAACAAAATTCCTGTTATTAAAAATAACGCAGCTCCGCTTATTGCAAATAGTACTATTGTTGGAAAATAAATTCTATCCTTGATAACTCGAGAAATCAGCAGAATGATATTGATCAGCATGAATCCAGTGTAGGCTGTGTACATTATCCCGATGTGGTGCAGATTTGTGTGGGCCAGGTGGATACCATTTACTGGCTCATAGATGAAACCCATGCACGCTCCACAGATCAACTGTAAAGAAAAAGAATTCTTATATTGTTTTTGAATTGAGTTTTCGAATTTTACCTGTTAGTAAAGTATCAAAAATTAGAAATCCTCTTGTCTTCTAAATGTTAGAACAGAATCGATTGTAAAAACGGCGCTAGTGGCAAAAGAAATAATCACCGACACCAGTATCATGTACTGTTGGAGTGTGGTGGCAGGACTCACGTAATGTCTTATGTAATCTGATTTATCTACTAATAACAAAACTCCAGTAGTTAAAAACAATCCGGCGCCACAAATTGAGAATAAAGAGGACGTCCTGTATGGGATTGTCACTTCTAAGCAGTAGTTCAAAAGGAATACTACAGTGATGAGAATGTAACCGGTGTATGCTGTGTACAAGACACCTACGTGATGAAGATCACTATTACCAATGCCCATGGTGTCAATGGCATCAAAACCTGTGCCGATGCAGAGTATACAGAGGAGCTGGAAGAAGAGAAGATATGAAGATACAACTTTCATTAATTTTAGCAATGTTTTTTAACGCGTTTAAATAATAATCAATTGTTGGTACTTCTAGGTTTTTTAAGGCAGACCAGCTTGTCACCATTTTATAGTCGTGATCTACCGAGTCGTGATTTTCTTACTGTTGCGATTTTAACAACTGTAAAAAGGCGAACGACTTAACACTGCTGCACACAATTAATTTCTATCAATAAAGAATGTCAATGAATTTTCTTTTTCGAATGGAATTATTTTAGTTTGGACAGTGTAAACCTACAATTTGATTTGTATTCGATGTCCTTCAAAATCTTCGGATCTTGTGACATTTTATTTCTTTTTGTTGACTTATTTAAAAGAAGGGATATATTTACACCTTTTACGATAGTGTAAATTGTAAATGTTTTGTGTAATTCCAAAAAATAGGTCAAGTTTACAAGGGAGGATATTGTCTATAGGCTCGTTAGAATGTTTAACGTAAGCCCATTGCATACGAAATATGTATTATTTGTGTAAGTCCTTAGATTAACGATCGAAAAACTGTTAGGATAATACATTCAAAATTTAAAAGCAACATGCCCTGGCAAGCGCACGAAAAAATAACTTGTTTGCAAATTTTATGTTTAGAAAGGATCTGCAACGACTAATTCGGATATATAACGACAATAATGAATACACAAAGAAACGTCGTTGCACCAAAAACAATTTTTAAGAAAATTTTTGTAATTTCAAAATTCCGGTGAAAATGAAATCGTTTAGACGAGACGTGGATTTACCAGAATGGATCTTCCATTCGTCGTTGGGTACACGAAACCAACTTGCAAAGGAACTCAGTCAAAATTGTGATTTTTTTTACTGAATTCAAAAAATAATGACAGGTAATTTTTGTAGACATACTGAAGTTGTTTTGGCTGCCTGGAAAAATATGTGGGAAATTTATCGTTCGAAAATATTCCTCCTCTTATTGTTTCATTAAGAAAATCTGAATCAGAGTCAGATGATGGCGATGACCCGGACAATGAATTAGATTCTTCCAGTGAAATAATGGGGATAGAAAATAGTGAACTGAACTGAAGTTAGGTTAAGTTTAAAGTTAAATACTTCCTTACTATTATGTTAACATTTAATAGTCATTATTTCCAAAGTGATTGCACTGAAAGATTAAGCTCAGCTAGTAAGTTTACTCTCCTTTGTTTTCAAATTTTAACCTATTTATTATTCTTACAACAAAGATGAAGTTTAAAAAAATATGCTAAAAAGAACACAATTGGAAGTTATACATCACACAATCAAATTCATAATGGCTGTGTTTAAGGCTGCAGATTTAATAATACAATTATTAAGCAAGATTGAAAGAAGCAAGTTTTCAGATCACTAACTCCAAAAATTCGAATTATTTGTTTTGTTTATTCATACTGACAGGTTTTGGTTGTGTTGTACATACTTATATTAACAATAAATTGCTTCTATGATCTTAAACAGAGTAATAAAACATCAAATAAATAGCAAAGGATAAAAATTCATTAATAGAAAAATTTATCGTACCAACCGATAAAGGAAATCTAACTTAAGCAACGCAGTTTCTACATTTGTCACATTATTGAATGATTTTACCTTATTTTTAAACTAAAAAAATTGTAAAATTTCCATAGCCGACCCTGGTGTATTTTCAAATCCTTGAATTTATTAATGTTCATAAATTATGTCGTGTTGACAGGCCTAAAAATGAATGTGTACAAACATGGCAATATTTTAAAATATCTCAAAAATATTTTTACTTATCATAGAATAAATAAAGGTATAAAATAATTCTTTCTAGCTAAAATAAATGAATAGCAAATTATTGACACTATGAGCTTATCTAAATATTGTTTTTTTTTAATAATAGGCACTTAGTGAGGTCTTATTAATCTAAAAAAATTCGACCAAGAAACTTTGACATGGCGGGTTCACTGGCACGTGTTGTCAGCATACTAATTTTGTGTAGGTACTAACAAAATTTTGAAACGTACACATTTAATTTGGAAAACAATATTTTGGCTACAGGATAAATTAATTATACTTAGCTAAAAAAAGAAAATCCGTGTTCTTCAACAATCACAAAATAATTAATCTACTCTTAATTTTGTCTATTAATGTTTTAAAACTCTATTAAAATATAGGTCAGATACATATTAAACAAGTCGACGTTTGAACATACTGGTTAAGATGAAACATTGTTAAACACATACCAACTCTAGCAGTTTTATTCCAACTTGCCAATGTAACTTAAGCTTATGTCTAATACTTTTCGGTTGTTCTTTTGTCTCTTCTTCTTTACTATTTTCCACTTCCGCCGACATGATAATTCTTTTTGGTACGTCGTAGTTTAGCTCACCGTTATCCACTTTGCTGTTTTAATAATGCAACAGATACCCGAGTCTTAGATGCGTAATGCACGACTATTGTACGACAACTAAGGAGAATGAATAAGACAAGAGCTTTAATAATCACGTAATTGACATTAACCCTTGCTGCACTTTTCTAATTGGATCCGCACACCCACGTTTAATGTTGATGGTGACACTTACGAATCCCAATTAAAAACGTTTATAACAAAAGTGATAAACTATAAAATTTGATTCTGCAAATTTTATTTGTTTATGTGACCCCATCTAAGTTCAGATAAAAATAGGAGTAGGTTACGAAAACATGGACAGATAAACCATTCAAGTGAGATTTTGTTAATAACATAATTTGGAGCGTGCCGTGTAATAATATAAAACGATCCTGCGTTCCCAGAATTTTAGGACAAGTCGTTTTTAATTTAATCGGTAAATGTGCTGTTTCATATATTAATTTTCTTGAAACATTCTGTATAAGTAATTCTAAAAAAAGGGTACACTGATCAAGATAGATCCATAGCATTATGCTTTTCGAAGAATTTATTTTTCATTTGTAGTTTCTTTTGTTCATCACTGCTTTTGCCAATATTTTTTTTACAGTTACATATCAGTTTTACGTGCTTGATGACATACTGGAATTTTAAATGTGCTACACTTAAATTAATAAAACACAAATTAGGGAACATTAATATGTCGCAAGTAATAATTTATTAGTCGCAATGTGTAAAGTTGCTAATTAGATTTGAATGCTCTAATTAGGTCTATAATCATCACAACTCCGGAACCTATCATTAAACCTCCAAGCACCAATGGAACCCAGTTTCCTTCGTATGTTATTGCATCAATAAGGAGCCAGACGCCACCACCTAGGTTTACTATAATTCCTCCGATGAGAAAAAGTATCTCAAAAAGGCGATCGCTGTCATCCGCTATGTAAATTATTACGAACAACAACATTATGATCATGTAACCTGCAGTGGCTGTAATCATCATTTCAAAATGCGCTCCATAGGTAAATGTTGGTGCAGTTGCCAATCCAACTAATCCAAATCGGAACTTGAACTTATAACTACTCCATTTGGCCGAGTGACAAGTCCATATTGCAAGGGCACTAAAACTCAAAATCTAAAAAAGTAAGAAGCATTAAAATCAAAATTTGGTACCATCTACGTACCAAAACAATCAATTTTAAATACACAGCTTTGTTCGAAAATGTTGACTTCAAATCTTGCATTATGGCTATATTAGTTCATAGATTTGATGAACGGGAATAGTATCAGAAAAGTCATAAACATAGAATGACAGTAAAATTGTGTCACTCCTTCTCCATTGTTTCAAGCAATGACTTCTTTAATAGCGTAAAGTGTAGCGTGAGATTAAAAGCCTGATAAAATCATTAGGACAATGTGCACCTCATACTAGTTTTTCTAATTTAAACCAAATTACCCCCACATATTATAGGTAATATGGCATCATATTTTCGTATTCTGCAAACTGTAATATCAACAAAAAAATTTGACGTTATTCAAGACTTTTGAATAAAGCAGTTTTTGATCGCGTGTGACAACTAAGACCCTGTTTTATTCTTAATTTCTAGTACTTGTTGAACTTTGACTGTTTATGTTTATACTTCGAAAAAATTCGACCATTACCACGTTCACATCGCATCAGCGTCGTCATCAAAGTATGCATTGGTGTTAAAAAAAAGGGAAATTTGATTGATTTTATCTCCTTAACACAAAGGAGAGGATTAATTCATTAAGCGCACTCGATTTTTTTTTTTTTGCAAAAAATGTAGGAGTAGTTAATAGCAGGAACAGTATTAGAAACAAAAAAACCTATGCAATATTCGAAAGTAAGCCATTTTCGCATTACACGCATGAAAGCAAGCACGATACTCGTTGGGCCACTGTAATATTGTACCAAGACCGCATAAGTATAATCGTAGAAAAGGTGGCAATACAAGTTGGATTTTTTTTGCCAAGTTCGATACATAAAGAACAACTACAAAAACACAAAGTAACCTATATTTATAAATTGTACAATTCTTTTGTTTTTTTTTTTTTCTATATTTCCTCTGGTATTCTGACTTTTCTTTTTGGTACTTCAACCTATCCGCTCTTATATTTTCATATTCTACTATCGTTGCTCCTTTTCTGTGTTTTATTGTTACCATTTGTTTAGTTTTGATCGATGTTATCACTAGGTTGTAGTTACTCTCATTTTCTAACCCTCTTCTTACTCTTATATATTTTATTCTTTTCAAATCTTTTCTTCTAATAATACTAGATCTATTACATTGACTTTTCTCTCCTACTTATATTTACTCTTGTATACTTATGCATGTATATCTTTATGTTGAAAGAATATATTACCTGCTTTCATATTATTTAGCGTACAATATTTTATCATTTTTTGTGTTAAGGGTTGTCCGGTTAATAGACGTACAAAAATAATTAGTTCGTCTGTACTTTTTGACGTACGAAAAAATTAGTGTTCTGTCAAATTTTTGTAAATCTGGTCATATATTGCTTAAAGGTTGGTTCGAATTAGAATTTTAATAACTCTGTGCAAAATGGCGAGAACCGAAAATGAACAGTTTGCCAAAAGAGTTGTGCATTATTGTTTAAACCAAGCTGATCGACAAAAAAATCTTACTGTGCAACACTTCCAACAGGAAGGAATAGCTCGATCGACTATATGCACAATTTTGCAGCGGTTTGAAGTTACCAAATCACTTGCATACAAGAAAATTCCTGATAAGCCAGCTACACAAGCCATCCCAAAAGTATTAAATGCCATTTCCAAGATGTTTGAAAAAAATCCTTCACTTTCCGTCCGAGCTGCTGCAAGACGATTAAATATTGCGAAGTCAATTCTTAGCGACATTAAAATTAAAAAGTTAGGCATCAAAGCATGGGTCAAACAAAAGGCCCCTAAATATATAAAACACCAAAAAAAAAACGTGCAAAAACTGTCTACCGAAAAATTTATAAATGTGGACTTCGTAAAATTCTTGTTCTTGATGCCGAGACTTACGTTCCTATAGATCCAGCAGATATCCCGAAACAAGAATTTTTCCACTGTTCTGACCCAAGTAAAGTGAGTTGTAATGATAAAGTTAAACAGCGTGCAAAATTTCCGAAGAAATATTTAGTTTTGTTGGCGATCAGTGAAAATGGACAAATTTCGGACCCCTTTATGACAGACCAAAATATAACTTCTCAAGTGTATTTGACTGAGTGCATTAAACGTAGGTTAATTCCCTTTATCCAAAGCATTGACAAAAATGATGTATTGTTTTGACCCGACTTGGCAACAGTAAATTACGGCAAAATTGTTACATCGTTCCTGAATAACGAAAATGTAAGTTTTGTACAAAAAAATGAAAATGCCCCTAACGTTCCTCAAACTCGAGGAATCAAACGTTTTTGGGCTTTATGTAAAGAGGAATATTCCAAAAGAAAAGCCCCACCAAAAAATTTGAATGGTTTTAAGAGAGTCTTCAAAATAATTGCGCAAAAAGTGACAGAGAAGTCAGGAAAAGTTGTTATGGACAGTGCATGGAAGAGACTTCGAGAAATCGGTTACCATGATATTGACGGTACTGGAAGTCTATCATAATTATTTTATTGTGAATGCTTTACTATAATAAAATTTTGTTGATGAATCCGTTGTAATACATTAATTAAAAATGAATATTAAATTTGTACGTCTATTAACCGGACATCCCTTATTTTAGTTTCTTCCTCGAATTTTCTGATTTCTCGGGGTTTTTTCCAATTCTGCCGTCCCAATCTCCTATTGGCATTAAAAAACCTTTGTTTTCGGTTCTTGTACTCAATTCCAAAATTCGTCTACCTCTTTCTTTGTCTGTCCTCCATTTGGTCCATAGACCTACTCTTTTTTTCTTCCTTTTCGCGTTCCCTTATGTGTTTTTGAATCTTTTTCTTTTTTTCTGTGAAGTCATATATTACACCACGTGTTTCCTTTATTTGATACAACTCCTGTAAATTTTTTATTTTTAAAAATTAACACAGTTCTTTGAGCAACTTTGTATAATTTTAAAAGATCACTTATCTGAATAAATGACATAAGCGTCAATTTTTCAAGCTAGTTTATCATGGATAAATATCTATTTCATTGAATAACTTTTTAAGTATTGATTTTAGATTATTGGTTGCTTTTAATTGTTTAGAAAAAATCAATCTTTCCACTTATGAGGAAATATACCTAGTGTTCTTTAAAAAAAAACTTGACGTCATTTGCGGTTCTACCGGAAGTGATAATAAAAATGTGAGGTTACCATCACATAGAACTTTTAAAATAATACAAATTTGCTCAAAGAACTACAGTGTTTTTTTAAGAATAGAAAAGTTACAGGGGTTGTATCAAATAAAAGAAACATCCTGTATATATTTTCGCTTTAGTCCCTTGTCTTCAGCTGCTTTTTGCCCTTAATATTCTGGTCTTTTTTTCCCAATTTTCTATTTCGATTACACATGGTGTATCATGAATCTTCTTTGCATTTCTAATTTTTTTCAATGTCGTTCTAGTGAAATTTCCGAACTAAAACTCTTCGTTGTCCTTCGCGTTTGGTTAAATTATCATTTTACTTCGTGAAAATTTGTTCTTTTAAATTTTACCGGCGTAACTCTATGCAGGTATGAACTGAAAAACCAGGTATCATTGTACAGCTTTTTTCTTAGTTAACACAAAGATTATCGTCTTTAATTAAAAAATTGGTCCAAGGCTATTTCGACAGAACTTCCCCCGTTCTTGAAGTATAATCCGACAAACTCTTTAAAAAAAATTATAAAATTTCATTTTACCATTTTCGTTTTGACATACCTCTGTAAAGTAAAAACCAGCGGTATAAACAACACTCTCGCAGTCACGGCGCCGTACGGACAATGCAAAATGGGATATAATGTCCTTCAGCACTAGGTAATGGCAATCTGAAGCTCAAGTGTTTATTTATGTTTATACGTTGAAAGAATATCACGTAGAAATTAGTTTGATTTGAATGAGTTTGTATTTTCAAAACAGAGGACTAAAATTATTAATTAAACCACAATCGAACAAAATATTCTGAATATTATAATTCTTATTTTATCATTATATAGACGTGCGTATTCTTACATTTTCGAGAAAGTGGGGTGACTCGTTCTTAATATGACTGATATAAGTAAAAAAATTGAAAAATCGTATAATCTTCCATCTTTAGAAATGCGCAACACGAATTTTGATGAATACAGCTAAAATGTGAAGGTGGCGGTATTTATTGTCTAATAAAAAGTATCATGTCTAGGATCATTACAGCTCCAGCCAAAAGCAGCATGATGGGAACCAAGAACGCAGCAAAATTGCCTTCCTCTTTAATGCCAAATATGATATCCACAAAGCCTCCTATAATGTTCATCAAGAAACCGCATCCAATAAATAGCATTTCGAAGATGGGTTTTGTATCACCCGCTATATAAACAATGATAAAAATCAGGGTGATCATAAGCCAAGTTGCTGAAGCGGTAACTACTAGTGGGTAGCTGTTAAATACAGTGTACACTTTCAGTGAGCCATACGTCATTTGCTCTGTAGCCCAAATAATTACAGCGATCAAAAGAAGAATCTGCAGCAGAAATCTTAAATAAATATTAACACTTAAAGAAACTTACAAATTCAATTATTTTTAGGATAAAGTTGAGATTTGTTATTAATCCTTTCAGGTCTCCCATTTTCAGTTCTTTTCCCCACTAGACAGTGAATAGTTGTTTTCAAAAATATGACAGTACAGAGCAGCTGTTGGCTTGATCTATTTTATTTTTTTATATACTGAGTGACAAAAGTAAAAGAACACCATGAAGGAATGATAATTTTGTAATAAAATTTTATATATGGGCTAAGGGTTGTTAGGATCAAAACTGATCAGCATTTGAATTTTATTTTACGGTGAATAAAAACTTATCATGGGATGTGAGTCCTCGTCTAAATTTTAGTCAACTCTGCGATTCTGAGAGAAGTCGACCAGTGTGTCTTCGGGAAGAGGAATTATCGTTACGGTAAATTGTAGCCCAATTAAACAGGACCTTATCATCTGTGGTAAACTGTTATCAGTACATGATCGTTTTCCGGATTGGAACCGTGTAATTGAGTTTTTGGGCTCAACGTTTAACCAACGTTCGAACCAAACTGTTATCAGGTTTGGTGATTCTTTTATTTAAACATAGGTGATTAGTAAGGGTTATTTAAATAATTTTCAGAACAGCAAACAAAGATAAATTATTATTTAAAAAACGTTTAGCAATAAATACTTAATCTTTCTAAAGAAATATATAAATACGGTTCTGGGAACCAATCCCGAAAAAGCAGGTGACTCGGGTACTTTTATGGCGATTAAGCTCAATAACGGGCAGTTCAAGGTTTACCAGGCACTAATGACACTCATAAAGTGATTAATTCTATTTCCAAATATCTTTGGAAGTACTTTTTTTGGACACAAAATAAAATTTATTAAATCCTTGACAATATTTTTTAGTGTCCTAGTTATCAATAGGCTTTATTACGAATTTTGCGTAAGCGGTTTTTGAAAACTGACAAAACAGGTAACAGAAATAACTTTTTCGGTCTGAAAAAAGTACTGAAAAAAAAACATAGTGTTTCTTGGAAAAATATAGTGACATTATGGATGTAGATGATGTCGGATTCATTATCACGTACATCAAATATTAAAATGATTTAAAATGATTAACTTCTTTTATGTATTGATTATTGATTATAAGTGGCTAATGTCAACATAGTTAACATTGATATTTTTGTGTACGCATCGTCGTCAAAATCGACCGAACGAAGTTCCTAACAGTCGTATATTATCACCTGCTCGTAATGGAAGGTAACGTTTTCATTTTGTCTCACTTTTCCACTTCGTTCACAATATTTTTAGCCCAACACTACATAAGTGTATGTCGTTTTTTCACTGTAGACATTTTCGAAATAAAAATGGTCAGATTTTGTATTTGGTTTACAAAAATAGGTGTTCTGCCTCTGATTCTGTTTCAGAGTTACTTGTTTATACAAAAATTTGAGTTAAACTATTTTATCCGGTACGCACCGATCTTCTTCTTCATGTTATATGTAAAATACAAATTTTAAAACTGTAACATACTGACACTGTTTTTCTAGCAATTAGTCTGTACCTGGTGCCAATCATATACGACCAGTATGATTGCAAGTAATCTTCATCCGATTCTACTTTGGCAAATTGATGAAGCAACTGAAGATATAAAAAAAACCGTAAAGCGAATTTGGTTTTTCATCACACTGTACATCGTCGTGTCTGTAGCTCTGGCTTTAGTAACTTGCCTTGCTTGCGTGATACAAACCCCGAAAGAATTTTTCTTCTTTTTCGAAATTGCGGAACTATATTTTCCACAATGGAAACCTTTTTATACGTTTACTATCAAATCGGCGTTGTTTGTACTAGCGTACACGGGCGTAAGTATTCCAGGATTCGCAAGTTTTTATTTTTACGGGTACATTACTTTACAAAAGCTTATGTTAAAACATTGTGTGCAAAATATTAACACGAATTATGATCAAGTTGACAATGTAAGATTTAGTAGCGTCACGTACCAACGAGTCATCAATCAAAGACTCTTGTTCTGCGTGAAACGCCATATTCGCTTCTGCAAGTAAGGTGCTAGTAAAGTTTAACTGTGAAAACAAAAAATGTTCTAGGTCTGTAGCAAGATTTATACAAATTGCAGACGCATACGTCTTACCATACCAAGTCCTCGGTACTATTGTAACGGCCAGTATTTTCGTCTTTTCTTTTGCGGTACTATCTGTACACAGGTTAAAGTTTCTAATACAGATTATAGTTTGAAGGTTCCTTAGCTGGTCAGTATTTTCGAATTGCGACTTTCGTAGCTTTATCCTGTACCATAGTGCTCGGATTTGTGATCATTGGTCAAGAAATCGAGGATATGGTAAGCTACATATAGCAAGTTGCTTAAAGCGAGTCTCTACGTTTGGCGCATGGTATTTTCAATATATTTTCAAAATGTAATATCTCCCTTATTAAAACACTTATTATTGTTACGAAATTTTAAATATAATCTGTCCACAACTTTCTCGATATAATGCAGAAGCAGTTTTTCTTTACTTAGTTTATCATCCTTAACATTTGAGTGAAATCTTTCATTATGTACATATTTAACAAATAACAAATCAATATCTTAATTATAATTATTTATAGAAATTTCGGAACGTGGTTTTCACCATTTTCAGTTTATAAAACTTTATAAATAACCCCGGAAAAATAAATGGACAATATTTTCCAGATAACTTATAAAGTTTTGTAAGCTGAAAACAGTGGTGTAAACCGCATTTCGAAATTTCCAGAAACAATGAGACATTTATTTTCAAAGATATGTGATGAAAAACTTTACACAAATATCAAAAAGAAAATCTTAACAGCCTAATTAAAATGAAAAAACCGCTCTCCCGTTATACAGAGAGTTTTATGGGCAAGTTAAACAAAATCTCATAACAATAAATGTGTTAATAACGGAGATATTACATTTTGAAAATGTATTGAAAATCCCATGTGTCAAAGGTATAGACCCATTTTAATCCAGTTGAGTCAAATTTGCAGTGGCTGGAACTCTCTGATACAGTAACTGAAGTCGAGTGGTATAACTGGAACCAGACCAATCAAAGACTCTACCTCATTTTTCTCATTAACACTTCCAAAATCTATAAAATTAAATTTAGCGAAAACATTTCTGTCGGTTATGAGTCGGGATTACAGGTATAAATATTAGCTTCTTAATTTTAGTCGAATTGTGGGTTGTAGATTCTAAAAGCAGTATACTCTGCCGCAAACATCACATATAGTTTACAGTACACGTAACTATATAAATGGAAAGATTTTACTCGAGGTCCCTTCGGCAGGAAGCAACTGTTACAGAATTGGATTTTTAAACTTCACACTACGTCGTTTTGTGGCAAATAACGGCTTAAATAAATATTATAGACACGTTGTTGTAATACGTTTAAAATCATAATAAAAGTTTGATTCAAAAATTTTCCATCATTCAACTTTTTTCTGGATAATATTTTCTCAGCTCACTATACCCTGTTGTAACACTGGAAGCTCAGACAATTGTCGGTGATCAGGGTGATGGGTAGAAAAATATAAAAAAAATGAGGATTTGGGCGCCAAGTAAATTGTACCTTACTTACTGAAAGTCTCTCACACTCTTTCAGAATGTTCTTTGTTTTTTTTTATCACTCTGTTACACTAGGATAGGTCAAATTAAATCAGGTTAACGTTAGTTAATTAAATTTAATGAAGTGTCAAAATGTGTAAATTAACAATCAACAGAATTTCTAAATTTAGAAAAATTTCAAACAACAAAATTAGCAATAAGTTCCACGGCTATAAGTTTGTATAAAAATTGTAGAATAGATTAGGACAATTAAATTAAGATATTTAAATTGAAAGAAGTAAGACATTCGATTTTTAACAATTAAAGACTCTCCCTCGGAGTTAGCGGGTGTAATAACGATAGTTGGTTCAGTAATGCAACCCTAAGCGATACGAAAAAACGGTAGAACGAAAGCGGTATTCGGAACTATATTTTCAGGACACCTCCTGATTCTTACCACACGACTTGATCCTCGGGATCACCTCGAACGAATCCCTTCGAAATGGAGGACTTCACTAATCCTTCCCCTCTTAAGGAAACTTTTGACCCGGTCTAGAAGGATCTTAATAAATCTGTATTTAAGGTTGACTTTTAATTGGGCCGTACGCGCGTGTCTGATTAACATTAAGATGGCGAATTGTTTACATTCGGAAGTCGTACTGATATTTTAGCTTCGTGTAGACTTACTGATATCGTACTTGGTGAGATGTTATTTGTTTGATTCGCAAAAGAAGTAAAGTGGAGAGAAGAAGCGTGAAGAGAAAGCGATAGTAAAGTAAGAATGGAAAGCTAGAAGAAGAGTTGCACTGTTTGGGGTGTCGACAAAGAGTAGAAAGGAAAGGAAGATCATCCCCAATACAATTCAACGGTAACTGGTAAATAGAAGAGAGAAGGCGAGAGGAAAGATAAAAGTGTAGAGAAAGAGGTTTGGGTGATACGACACCCAGGGATGCAGAAAGACATTCCGTGCAGCTTGTAGCAGCCGCCCGCTAAAATGTGATGGGTAAAATGCGACTCTCTAACCGCCCTATATCGGCTGGCGCCTAAAAATCGAAAAGAAACCAAAAAATCGAAAAGAAAATAAAGTTCATTTAATACGACTAATTTTTCACTAAAACGGGGGTCAAAAATTGGGAATATTTAGGGCCGAATTCTGTAAAGTATAAAGGCACTTTGGTTAAAGGATTGTCCTTTACATAAAGATATTCCTATTCTCTAAAACGTAAAGGACCCTTATAGATCCGTTGCATAAAAGTGAAGTTCTTTATAGTTTCCCTTGTGCAACGTATGGTCATATGTGTCACTGTATGCAAATTATTTGTCAGTTTCATTAGTTTTATATTCCGTTTCTAAATAAAAGGGAAGAAATAGAAAATCTGTGATTATTTATCCTAGAGGAATTACAATAAAGGTATATATGAGTCAGAACAATGATGTTTTTGTACAGTTTTATAGTTTCATGGTTTAAATTTGTTAATATCAGCAAAAAGCACTAAAAATCGTCATATTAAAGTTAATTAAGCCCAATTTGGTGCAAATACAAATACTTTTACGATACCCCAAATAGACTGGTAACTAATATACAACTTTACAAAAACAACTCCTTTGGAGGGGTCTTCATTTATAAAAGACCAAAAGATCCATTAAAGGCCAGACCCCCCTGACCACACTAACATAAAGGGCCAGTGCTGATATCTCAAAAAATGTGCATGATTTCAAAAAATGTTTAATTTTTTTTAATGTTACCATCATCACGAACCAACCTACGAGCAAATAAATAATATTTTTACTATACTATGTCAGGCACAAAGACCACGACAAGAATTTCGTATCTAATAAATTAACAAAAGCTAAGTTTAAAAATCTCCCGAGCCCGTCACATCAAACATATCGACAATGTGAAAATTTGAGGTTATGTACAATTGTACAATAGTTTCCATCTCTCTTGACACAATAGTAAACGCAAGCGTTCCTTTTCTAAAAGCATATAATATCGTAGTAAAAATATTAAATTAATTGAAATTAGCCTCAAAAAATGAATGCTACCTTTGCGCTATATGAAGCAATAAGTTGACTTATGTCAAAATGTTTGCCAGGAATTGCATCATATCACTGCATACGAAGCTGTTTCTTATTGTTTATATTAAGTTTTGTTATATGGTGCGTTCTGTGTTTACTAATTATTAAAATTGTGAATTAGAATTTTTTATTAATTTATTGTCTTTGCCATTTCTATTGAAACACCACTTGTTAATCGTAAATTTGGCAACGTTCATATTCAGACAATTTTCTAACTAAAAACCGTTATCAATCAACCGAAAGCTGTCACCAATTGCTAAATTTTAAGCAAAATCAACAGGTGGTGTTTCAATAGAAATGGCAAAGACAATACTACTCACACATATCTCATACGTGACAACACTGTCCCAGACGTGACAGTTTAAAAATATTTCTGATGAAAAAACCGTCAAGGGCAATAATTCAAAATAATACCCAAATTAAAGGTTGTACTTCTATTATTAATATAAAAAATTCACCTTCGTTGGATAATTAAAACGGGACAGATACAGCAAAATTTCTTCTCTACATTTAGAATTAAGAATTTTTGATATGCCATACGTGACATACTTTCGTATTGAATTCGTTGTAATATGCAAAACACAAACCTAAAAGCAATTTAACCATGATTGTTAAAAAAACTCTAAATTTCCTAAAATAGTGGCCATTGTGGTCATTTCCGCTTTTGAAAACTAATATGACTAAGTTTTACACAAAATTATTGTTACAAATGTTCCGAACGTGACAGTGGAATGCTCCTTAAACGTTTAGCAGTAAGTACTTAATCTTTGTAACGAAATACGTAAATACGGCTCTGGAAACCAACCTCGAAACGGCAGGTTACTCGGGTAGTTAACAGATTAAACTCAATAGCAGACAATTCAAAGTTGACCAAGGACTAGTGACACTCATAAAGTGATTAACTTGGTTTCCAAATATGTTTAGAAAAATACTTTACTAAAATTTTTAGTTTGAAGCGCCATCAACGTCTAAGGATTTGAACACAAAATATTTTATTTTAAATCCTTGACGACATTTTTTAGTGTGCTGGTTATCAATAGACTTTTATTACAAATTTCGCGTAAGTCGATTTTTGAAAAGTAACCAAAAAACAGTGTTTCTTGGAAAAATATAGTGACATTATGTATGTAGATGACGTCGGATTCATTATTACTTAAATCAAATATTAAAAGGATTTAAAATGAGTAACTTCTTTTGTGTATTGATTATCGATTGTAAAGTGGCTAATGTCAACATAGTTAACATTCATATTTTGTGTACATATCCTCGTCAAAATCGACCGAACGGAGTTCCTGACTTTTCATACAATATCATCTGCTCGCAATGGAAGGTAACGTTTTCATTTCGTCTCACTTTTCTACTTCATTCACAATATTTTTAGCCCAACACTACATAAGTGTATGTCGTTTTTTCACTGTAGACATTTTCGAATTAAAAATGGTCAGATTTTGTATTTGGTTTACAAAAATAGGTGTGCCGCCTCTGATTCTGTTTCAGAGTTACTTGTTTCTACAAAAATTTGAATTAAACTATTTCATCCGGTACGGACCGATCTTCTTCTTCATGCTATATGTAAAATACAAATTTTAAAACTGTAACATACTGACACTGTTTTTTTAGCAATTACTCTGTACCTGGTGCCAGTCATACACGACCAGTATTGTTGCAAGGAATCTTCATTCGATTCTACTTTGGCAAATTGATGAAGCAACTGAAGAGATTAAAAAAACCCTAAAGCGAACTTGGTTTTTCATCACACTGTACATCGTCGTGTCTGTAGCTGTAGCTTTGCTAACCTGCCTTGCGTGCGTGGTGCAAACCCCGAAGGAATTTTTCTTCTTTTTCGAAATTGCGGAACAATATTTTCCACAATGGAAAACTTTTTTTACGTTTACTATCAAATCGGCATTGTTTGTCCTAGCGTACACGGGCGTAAGTATTCCAGGATTTGCAAGTTTTTATTTTTACGGGCACATCACTTTACAAAAACTTATGTTAAAACACTGTTTGCAAAATATTAACACGAATTATGATAAAGTTGACAATGTAAGACTTAGTAGCGTCACGTACCAACGACTCATCAATCAAAGACTCTTGTTCTGCGTGACACGTCATATTGACTTCTGCAAGTAAGATGCTAGTAAAGTTTAACTCTGAAAACAAAAGATGTTATAGGTATGTAGTGAGAATTATGCGACTTCTAGATGTATACGTCCTACCATACGAAGTCCTCGGTACTGTTGTAACGGCCAGTATTTTCGTCTTTAGTTTTGCGGTACTACATATGCACAGGTTAGAATTTCTAATGAAGATTATAGTTTGAAGGTTCCTTAGCTGGTCAGTATTTTCGAATTGCGACTTTCGTAGCTGTATCCTGTACCATAGTGGTCGGTTTTGTGGTCATTGGCCAAGAAATCGAGGATATGGTGAATTACATAAAGAAAGTCCCTTGACGCATGGGATTTTCAATCGATTTTCAAAATGTAATATCTCTATTATTAACAAATTTATTGCTATGAAATTTTAAATATAACCTGTTCACAACGTTCTCTATATAACGCAAGAACAGTTTTTTTCAATTAGTGCATCATGTTTTTTTTAGCACCTGGGTGAAGTATATTTAAAAAACAATATTTTAATTTATAGAAATTTCTGAATGTTGTTTTCACCATTTTCGTTTCACGAAACCCAAAGTTATCCAAGAAAAATAAATCGACAATGCTTTCCATGATGACATAGTATAAATGATTATAGAGTTTTGTAAACTGAAAACAGTGCTGAAAACCGCATTCCGAAATTTCCATAAACAATTGAGATACTGACTTTTAAAGATGCGTGATGAAAAATTTTACACAAATGCTAAATAAATAAAGTAATTAAAAAAACTGTTCTCAGTTAACAGTGGAGATACTGCATTTTGAAAATGTGTTCAAAATCCCATGCGTCAAACGTAGAGACTCCCCTTAACCCACTTCAAATTTACAGTGGCAGGAACTTTCTGATGCAGCAAGTGAAGTCGAATGGTATAACTGGAACCAAACCAATAAACGAATCTACCTGATTTTTCTCACTAACACGTCCAAAGTCTATAAAGTCAAATTTAGCGAAAACATTTCTGTTAATTATGAGTTGGGGTTACAGGTATAACTAAATATTAGCTTCTCAATTTTAGCTAAATTGTGGATTGTAGGTCCTAAAAGCAGTATATTCTGCCGCAAACATCACATATAGTTTACAACACACGTAAAAATACTGCAACAGCCCTTTGGTATCTACAGTTAATTTATTAATTCCAGACACATTTGGATATCTGAATTTATTCTGATTCCTTATTGCATTGTCATCTTCTAAGTGAATTATTCCTTCTCTGATAACCCCGGCTTTGGCACTTGGTATTTTCTCGCTTTTGGCGTTAGGGCTCTGACTCGTCCAGACCCCTGGCTTTGCCTAAACCACTTGGCGATACGAAAACGTCGTCTGACGACAGTGGAAATCATTTGGGGCGATTTCCACGCCAACTACATCTTGCTGTAAAAGAAATTTCTATCTTTTGAGGTTTTCCTTGACACTACATAGTATACGCACAATAGTCCCGTTTTTACTCTTGTCATAGTTTGGTCTTGTGGATAATTTTTCAATTTAGTTTTCATGATTTTTTGGATTGTTTATCTTGGTCTTTTCCCCTCTGATCATCCCCCTCCCAACGGAGTTAGTTGCCCTTCACGAACTACCCTTTTCATTTAACGAATCACACGGGACCAGCTACCCCTCAGGTGTTGCCCTTTTTAATTTGCGATTGTAGCGAACTAGCTTTAACCAACCGTTGGAAGTTTGTCTCTTTTTTTGGAATGTCTCAAGGGGGTGTTTGTGTATGGCTGACACATCGTCTTGAGGAAGGTCCCCAACCAACGACTTCAAATCTCCAACCCCGTGAGTAGCCCTGGGTTCAGTACATCTCACCAGAGGCTCGCTCCGTATCGTAAGTCTTAAAATTAGTCGCTTGGATCTGGGGTGAAGCTTCCCATGGAGGCCTCATCTTCTTATCGTCATCCGTCGACGTCGACCTTTAGTAGTATTATATATATCTATTTAGGTATCTTTGTTAAAATAATAGCGTGGTTTCCCGAATTTCTTGCGTACATTTGGTTGCGTACGACCCGCACTAACTTGTGAACCACGACAATTGTACGAAGTACGACAGATTTTGTGAACTTGAAATTTTGACTAGTTGATAGATTAATGTTATTTAGCTCTGATATCCCAACCCCCTAGGTTCAGATTTAACCTAGGTCTTTGGTTCGAGAGGTTGGGCACTGTGATAAATCCGGGGCGCTCACTTACATCTTTGTTTGGACTCCGTCGTCTCCGCAACTGGGCATAAAAGGGCCAGGGACCCGACGGGCCACACCCTATTTTCCAATCTTGGTTTTAAGAGCGTTACAATACTCAAGGCACCTTCGACAGGAACCAACGATTTCAGACTTGGATTTTTAAACTCACCCTACGTCGTTTTTTGACAAATAACTACTTAAATAAACACTATAGGTAGACATGTTGTTGTAATTCGTTTAAAATCTTAATAAAAGTTTAATTCTAAAACTTTCTATTTTGATATTCCGATCCAGTAATACATAAAAACGTATCATTTATAATAATTCAGTTTTTTTTTCTGGATAACATTTTCGTATCCGATTGTAGCCAGATAATGGAATTTAAAAAATCTGAAGACCTAAAAGCAACTATGTACTTTGTTTTTATTCATTTAAGACGACGAATTTTTCGTTTAAACTGCGCGTCAAAAATTGGGGATATATAAATTAATTGAAATTAACCCTACTCAATGATTTCGGAACTTATAAAAAAAAAAAATAAACATGTCTTTCAACGATATCTTTAACCTTAGGCGCGCAGTTTATTAAATTTAATCAATACCAAAATTATTAGTTGACCACACTTTTTCTTATCCACATCAAATGAAACACTGTCTGTTTTCATTTAATGTGGAAAAGAAAAAGTGTGATAAATGAACAGTTTTGATATTGATTAAATTTCTTCTACGGAGTAAAACAGTTTTGATATTGATTAAATTTCTTCTACGGAGTAAAATAAATTAATATTTATTAAATTTATTCCATTAATAGCTGCGCACTGCAATTAAACTCCAACACCTATAATTTTAAACGCATATTCTGTGCTGGTGAACATTTTTTGGTGCATGTTAATGATCGAACTCACCTTTATTATTTTGGTTTTTAAAAGCTACTTTAAAAAAATCATTACTGAACAAACAATGGATTCTATAGATCTTTGCGAAAAAGCTGCCCAAGATATTCTGAGCATGGTAAATCGTTAGTCAGAACTCATAAAAGTTGGTTACGTCACCTCAAAATTTTGTACAACTACTTACCCTCAAAAAATTAATGCTACGTTGGTACTATATGAAGCAATAAATTTTATTGATTAAATAGAAAACGTTTTATCTCAGTTTGTTGGATTCAGTTTTGCTATTACTTCTAACTTATTGTTATTATTACACTGTATTCAAATTGAGTAAAAAGTTGATAACATCACAAAAAAGAACATATAGTTACGTTTTAGTTTTTTTAGTAGAAAAATATGCAAAAGTGTTATTAAAAAATGTGGATATGGTAACATATATTTCTTCAAAAATTAAAGACTTCACAAAGGACGTCTAATATTTCTAAATCTAAATTAAAATACTAAAATATTTACATCAGGATGAATACAATTATCTCCAAAACAATATTACAACAAATAAATTATTATTAAAAGGTTTAAAGGACCAGTTTAACAATATTTTAACTGAGATTATGGTAATCACGCATTTAACGAGTCGTTTAGGGACGTCTAATTGAGGTAGAGTCGGTCACGTGGTATTTTATCCCTGTGTTTTAAATTTAATCGCAATCAAATATTTAATTGGGCTTGTATAAACCGGGCCAAAATATACGAAAGTGGACGTATGCTTATCCTTGGGTAGATTGTTTGAATTAACAGAAATGCATAAATGGTTCTGAAAGCCTTAGTGGTACAGTATTTCTAAAGATATTTGAAAACAGATTAGTGTCATTAGTCCCTGGTCAACCTTCACCTGCCTACTATTGAATTTAATCCCAATAAAAGTACTTGAGTACAATCCGGCCCACATGGAATGAAGTGACCTGCGATGCGGTGCTTTGAAACATTTATGATAGGGGCATTTATATCCCCCTGAGTGTGCAATCAAAGTATTTAATTATGTTTCCAAATATTTTTAGAAACACTTTATGTCAATCTTATTGTCCATTTTGAGTTATTTTTCGTATTTTTCGTATACAATATAAAAGTGAAAATCATTCCGTCACAGAACATCCTATTGTTGCGTAAAGGCTAGCGCATATCTGAACATTCAAATTAAAAATAATTCCAAATTTAATCAGAACTGTGTTTTATAAAATATGTTATGCAAAAAGCATTCAGTTATGTTCAGAATCGAAAGACATTTAAATACATGTTCCTGGACTCTTTGATAACTCAAAACTTGGTATTAAAAGAGCGTCTAGTTTTTGATACAATTTATGGTACCTTTGTATAAGTTCTTATAATTAAAGTACCTAGCTGATGTGTGTAAAAAAAATCCTTACAAAATGTAATTAAGGGACGGGATTAACGTCATTGTATACTTAATACAAAATTCACTAACTTTATTAACGCTATTCACAACAAATAACAAACATAAGGTAAACTATGTACGCATTAAAATATTTATTTCCTGCGTAAATGCAAAGTCTGATATGAAAATTCCATGCGAAGTGGAACGTTTTGGATAATGATAGCACACTGTCGATGAATAAATATAATGAAGAATACAAATCAATACAAAAATTTCATTAAAATTACCACTAAGGCATGACAAAAAGTGATCTGGCCATACATGAGGTACAGATTCTATATTAATGCCCCAAAATTCGGAAATAAAACTAACTTAGCTATATTTTTAGAAGATACTTCACTCTAATTAATACTCGTAATAAACTATTTTTTATATCAGCTACATATTAAAAGACCGTATACTTTTTCACCATCATGGAACCAAGATCATTTTTTGTAATTTTTTATTTCTTAACCAAATCTAAGATACTTAATAATACTTCAAAATTTTTCCAAGATTTGTCACATGGATGCTGTAAGTTACATATGATTCGACAGAAATTCAAACTTCTTATAATTCACCACTAAATTATCAAAAACACGACAAAAAAGAAGTTCGAATTTCATTGGAAGCTAATGAGAGAGTTATTTCTTATAACGTTACGCTATCATGGTTAGAAACTGCATAGCTATTCACAAAGTTTTGAATCATGGTGATGAATGATGATATTAAACAAAAAATTAAAATGTATCCGAATAGCGTAGCTTTTATAAAAAAAATTTACTCGTCGCTAAGATAAATACAAAATTGGATATAAAAAATTACATTTTGGCTTTGATAACGAAAATTATGGCCAAGACTGTGTCAACAAGGTAAGCTGCTCCACTTAGTATACACAAAGAACCCATCGCAAGACCGACCTAGAATGTATTGTTGTTAAAAACGATCTAGTTTATTAACGGGTTAATTATTAATACCTCTCGTTCTGAAGCAGATGTTAGATATTTGTGTTCCACGAGGTAACCACTCCAGTAGTGAAGAGCTGTAGCCCCTACTGCCACCCACAAGAACACGCCAATAATATTCATTAAAATGTCAGTGAAGGTGCTGAAAATTGAAAGTTCAGTATCAAGAATTTAGTTTTTTCTTTTTTTTGAAAACAAACTTTTTGTGATCGGCTGTCGCAAAGCATAAACTTATGATGGAGACGCAAGTATAGATAAAGTATCCTACGAAGACTCCAGACGCGACAATTTCAGCATCTGGATTCTTCTCTTCGTTTAAATTCCATGTTCCGCCGACTCCCAAAAATCCACCGCCGTATCCGGTTCTATACAAAATCAGGATGATCAAATTGAGTACCTGAAAAGTAGCACAGTTTCGGTTGAAAAACATGCGTAAATAAACTATTTAAACAAAACGGTGTGGCAAGTCTTAAAATATTTACAGTTCAAATAATAAATGTAGTAACAATGCAAGGATACTTTACTAATTTAGGTAGGGTAATTTGAAATGGTGGTTTTATGAATGAATGAGTGTATAAAGTAAGATGACTGGACCAGGTCCAAGTCAATTGGAGTCAATTAATAATTACAGCTAATAGTAACATGCTGTTTCACAATTAAGGCGTGTTATCTTCAATTGGATAAAGTTTACAAATATGATAAGCTTTTGTTTAATTGCTCTAGCTCAAATAAAAATTGGCTTCTATCGAATGACTAATCTCAACGCGGTTTAAATTAATTTGGCTATATCGCACGAACAAATATGTTTTGGGCGAAGCAAGGTCTATTGTCATACCCTAATTACGTTCCTTGCCTCTTCTATATTACAGGCATACGTTTAATAACAACACGAACACATGACTCATCCGTGAACTTGGAACTCTTAGCTTCCGGTTCGTCACCGTCCCATTTTGGACAAAAATTTGAAAAATTCCTTCGGATGAAAATGTAGTCTCGTGTTGGAATCCAAACACGCCCTGTTTTCACACAAAGACTAAGTGCGCGATACCATAGATAAGATTGACACGCACATTTAAATAACTATCATGAGCTCTACGTCGAACAAACGTACTCACCAACTTAAGAATCTTCAAAATTAAAGCACCCACGGTCTCTATACTCGTCATTTTAACTTTTCTTTACGTTTTCCACCAAAATAACACACAAGCTCGACCACCTTACTGATTCTACACCTGTCTCGATCGAAATGAGGTAAAGAGATAACTATATCACTGATAAGATAACTCTTGTTTTTACAGTGATGTAAGGGTAGATGATTCAAAAATTCCGACTATCGGTGTCAAAATAACGATGATTCATTCGAAATCGATCAAAAATAAAAGTGATTATTGTTACAGGAATTGGGGTTGGACATCACTCAGGACCAAATTGCAGAAATGCAGAACAATGTCAACGACATTAATTTTGAGGAGTGTGCGGCTGAAGAAAAAATTACTCGGCATGATGTTATGGCCCATGTTCACGTCTTCGCAAAGCAGTGTCCAAAAGCTGCGCCGATCATCCACTTGGGCGCTACATCCTGTTTTGTCGGTGATAACACTGACTTGATTGTCATTAGGGATGGGCTAAATTTATTGTTGCCCAGAGTGGCCGTTGTTATTGACAATTTGGCGCACTTCGCTGACCGCTACAAGTAAGTTAAAGAACTAAAAGTTGTTGAGTTAATTTTTTTATTGACTTTTGTTGTATGTATTTATTTATTTATTTATTTATTTATTTATTTATTTATTTATTTACTTACTTTTTGGTAGAATAACACAGCTACTGAGGTTTAGTTGCAAACACACTTGCCATAATATCATTAATAATAATATTAATAATGATGATGATAATAAGTCTTTAAAATCATAAAAATTGTTTTCGCCCCTAAAGCACAAGTAGCTCTGCAAACGTGTTAGAGTCATCATATTTTTTACTACAGATGAATATAAAAATGTGTCTTAATGATTTACCATTTAAACGATAAGCTTAAAATATATCTAAAACTTCACAGTAATTTGGGTGATTTTATCTGTCTAATAAAATCGCCAATAGACGAACGAGAGACAGATGGATGCGGAAACTCAACATTTTCGTATTTAACAAGCTGCGAAATGTAGAAAAAACATGAAATTGGATCTACGTCGAAATGACCCCTATTATGGAACTTCAATAAATTTTATTTATTTTATGGTACAAGCATATTTGGGATATATTCACTATCTCAAGTTCCTGATGAAAGGAAAATATATGCGTAGGTTATACAAAGATATTTTTGATCTCTTAGATAACTATGTCGAATAAATTGAGATGTAACAAAACAAAAGCGTGTTTCTGCAGCTGGAAGGGCGATATATATTTCTACGAACTGATTTTCTGTCGTTAGCCCATTTTTAGGTACTTTTTTAATAAAGACTGCTTTTTATTTTGCTTAAAGGTATTAAATCAAAAACTGTTACCACTTACTAGAATATGCCATAAGGAAATAAGGCCATTTCTTTAATCAATAAAATTAAATGTGAAATTTTGGTTAAAATAAAATGACGAGCTATAGTTTTATTTACCAAAAACAGGATGTTACCAGTATGGGCTATAGTCGAGTCAATGAAATTTAAAAATGGTGTTCTATTTGAAATAAAAATCTAAATGAATTTAAAAAACCTTAGGTATCCTTATTGTCTGTTTTGCATAGAATCTGTGAAAAAATCTGAGGGGAGTTAATGTTTTTTTAAGACTCTCGAAGGTCTTGGGATTTTATTTTTGAAGTAATTTGAAATCTTGAGGACCTCTAGTGTCCTTTTTACTTCCCAAAGGTAAGTGGATGAAGTATTGTAATCGAGTACGTCGGCCGTCTGTCTACTTTTACGTTTCCTCAACCTTTCATGACTCCTAGAGTACTAAGAAATAAATCTTCCGTTTTCGTCTCTTAGTCTGTCTGTCTGTCCGTCCGTCTGTCTGTCCGTCTGTCTGTCTGTCCGTCTGTCTGCCGCCCCGGATTTTTATTTGACAGATAATCTCCGAAAGTACTGGGCCGATTGTTGTTAAATTTTGTATTTATATTAGGAATATCATATAGATGGTAAAACACTAACCAAAATTTGTCTAATCACCCCCACCAAAAATGTGATGACGTCATTTAAAAATTGTACATAGTAAATGGGTTTTGAATTGTATAAAATAATATAGTTCTACACATGTAGTTTATGACTCCGTGTAGAGTTTTTACCAGAAACGTCCAGATTTTTGTAAAAAAAAATCAAAATTATAAAACATTTTGCAATTTAATTTTGGATTTGCAAAACCGAATGCTTTAAAATCTTGCAAATGTTTTAAAGTTATGATAAACATGAAAAATTTTTAATCAAAATGTATTTGCAAAAATATGATGAGTCTGTACTTGTGATTTATCATTCCATTCATATTTTTTAGATTTGCTTAACAGGTCACTCAAAAAAATCAATGAATGAGTCCATTTATTTTATTGATTAAATCAGGAATAGTTCACTCCATTTTCCCTAAAATTTGGAGATACAACACTGTTATTGGTATTACATTGCACCAACCCAATTTGATAGACACAAAATTTTGTAGTAAAGTAAAAACTTGTTTGAAACATAGGCGTAGCACGCTTATTTACATTTACTTTATAAACATTACAGACGTGCATTTGTTTTGTTGCGCTGACTAGGTTCCGTGAATGTGGTATAAACAAGTTATAATCAACCAATTGTGAATTTCACCATCAAAAATTAAAATGAAATGAAATCCAATGTTTTGTATAATAAGCGGAAGTTGAAGCAATAAAAAAGTGTTACCGCTTGTTGTCTTAAATTAAGAATGCTTATACATAAATGATTTTGAGTCGCCTCTGCTAATACACGCGGCATACCTGAGTAAACTGTTTCGTTATTTCAATATTCAAGACAACCCAATTCATTTTCCCAAAAATTTGGGAATACAGTACTTTTATTTTTAGTATTACACTACATCTATCCCAACTGATATACGTGTCCTTGCAAAAATGTTGACGACATCATCGCAATTTTTTTTTAAATTGCCCCGCTACAAAAATGTAATGAGAAAAAAAAAATAATAGGCATGCAGTAGTCTTTAGACCATTTTTTTTATATATTTATGCATTCGTATTTTAAATACAAAGTTCTATAAAAACTTGTTAAATTTAAAGGGTGTTCAATTGCAGATTTCTATAGTAACGAGTTAAATTCGTAAATCTGATTGGCTGTTGTAATCATTAAAAATGAAAATAGACGCTGTTAATAATTTTTTTTGCTCTTTTCGAATTTGTTTTTAGATTGTTTCTAACACATATAGTTTTCTCAAAATATTATAATGACGAAATAATAAAAATAACGTATTTACGTGAAACAGTACACTATCATTATCATCTTAGCAAGGACATAAAATTTAATTAGTCAGTTATCACTCAGTTAACCATAAATAATACTTCCCTAATTAATAAATGAAACGGAAAGTTCATGTAATTGTTTTTTTTTGTGTTATAGAACAGTGTAATTGATAAAAGATAAAGATAGTTCTAAATTTATATTACGCTTACACTGCTCAATGGCATTTTTCATTTTTCTTTAAGATGGATTTGCGACAAAAGTTGTGTCATTTACAATATTGCAAAAATTAGAAACATGTTTATAACTGCGGTAATATCAAATAGGCAGATCATAATTATTGGAACACAGACTAAAGTATTTTTGTTTTTCCAAATTTTTTTGCAATAGATATACAGTCGTGACCAGAAAATTTTGGACGTCAGCGTGATTCCACTATCACAGTGTGTAACACCTTGAAGAATTGTAACCTTTTTTTTAGTTTTGTCATTTTTGACACTGCGAGTATGCTAACACTGGATGCAACGCGACAAATCTTTCAAATTTCAAATGTCAAAGTGACATTAAAGCATAGTCTACCAAAATTTTCAAATTACAGGAAAATTTTCTGGCCGCGACTGTATATTTTCTAATTCTTTAGTAAAGTCGCAAACAAAACTAAGCGACAAAGAAAAGTTATTTGCGGCAAAATGTTTAGTCATAATTTATTGTGGTTAACACCATAGTGTCAAGTGAATTTTCACATTCGCATCATATTTGTCATTTGTATTATTTTATTTTGATATTTAAGTATAATGTAGTGTCAAAATTTTGAAAAATCAAGAGTAGGTCATTGTTGCGAATCCATTTTGTTACTAAATTTTGTCTGCAAGTTTATTAATATTTTTTTAATTTTTGTTTTAATACAAATTTTGTGTCGGGTGAGCATAATTTATAATCGAGTCATTAGAAAGGGTTTAGTATATCGGTGATTAAACCACATTGATAAATGTCAATAAATGATAAATGTAAATGCAAAAATAGCGGACACTTTTTAATAAGATTTTTAACAAAATAAGTGTGAAGTTAAAGAAAAATTATTGTTAAACATATTACCACACCTAACCTGAGGGGAAATAGCTACACATCTACATATTATAAGCACATACTGACAAGTAGGTTGCGCAGTAGTTACAATTGAGTCTCATTGATAACGCAGTACGTGAAGACAATGTGTACAAACAAACTTTTTTGCTGTTGCAGCAACAATGTAACGCATCTGCAACGGGTGCAACCAACAATACTCCCGAAACAAAATGTTTTTCCGATTAATCATAAAACTAATAATCATCTATTATTCTACATGAGCTAAACATGCTTATAACAAGTGACGCACATTTCAGTAATAGATTTCAATTTCCAGAATTGAGCAACTTTTCAAATAAAACACATAGTCAAATCTAAATGATAACTCCTTATATAGGTAGTATCAGGCTATCAGGGTTTTTTTTTTATCAAAATGCGTAATTACTTATTATGCCTATGTGGATTACGTATCACTTTGCGCATATATTCAACACGATAATCAGCGATTGTGGCGATTACTAAGATCACGAAATCTACTACAATTGCGACGCATACGTCTGACAGATACGGGGTTCTTTACCTTATGATAAAGTAATTTTATCAGTTAAATTCACCGGACAAATATGAGATACAGTACCGTTATAAGTTTCTTTTTCCTATATTAAATCGAATTGTATCAGTTATTTTTAGTACACATCATACGTCACAGTATTATTAATCTGAAATTTTACTTGAGTCTGTATATATCAAAAATTACATTGACTGATGTTAAACAAATAGTGTTAATATGTAGAATTATGAAATTGAAGCCTGGGATAATAAACAGTTTTTAACCCACGCATTTTTATATTTGTGTAACAATTCTCTGAAATCGTATAGATAACACTTTTCATTGCTTCGTAGTAAAGATAATATTTCAAGTATTTATAGACCTAAACAAAGAAGGAAGGGTGTGGGTTATGATTAAAAAAAAAAATTCGGAACATTAGTACCACGTTTCTGCCTAGATTATGTTCACATAACCTCGTGATGTCAGGTTGACCCCAACAAACATTTTTTACACTTACAGGTTACCGTACAAATAGAAATTGATAAATTTTAATATTTGAATAACTTTCACGGTATTTACCGAGTTTATTGTTGTTCCTTATCATCACAGAACCCAACACTAACCGAAAATACAAATAAAACTTCTATTATTACATGTACTAAAATTATCTTCAGTGATGAGATTAATAATAGTATGAAATGGCGTTCAAATTCTAAAACTATAGCATGCTCTGACATTTCTAACCTCCCCCATCCTCCTCGGTGTGCAATTACCGGTCGGTTCGATCTTCACTACTCTGATATAGCCTCTTTAGTGCTAAGCTGTCATGATCAAAATTGCAAACAAAATGACGCGTTCCTAACACAACATTTTTTTTAATGTTGATCATGACTCGTTAGTTTTATTTAAAAATTGTAGATAAACTAACCCACTTGGATCTGTACCTACATTTGAGATAACTAAAAGCAAAATTTTCTTTGAATGATATATTTTCCGTATTTCTCACTTTTCGCTACTTAATTTCTTCACTCATCACTTTTATGAATCCATGAACTGTCTCAAATAACACTGTGTTTCAGATCCTTGCCCACTCTGGGCTTCACCCATCTCCAACCCGCACAACTAACCACCGTAGGCAAGCGTGCCACACTCTGGCTTTTCGACCTACTCATGGACGAAAAGGCCTTGCGACGAGCCAAAGACGATCTCAGATTCCGCGGTGCCAAAGGTACCACCGGAACACAAGCCTCCTTCCTCCAGCTATTCGATGGAGATCGCACCAAGGTCCAAAAACTGGACCAACGCATTGCTGAACTATCAGGATTCACCAAAGTCTATCCCGTTACTGGACAAACCTACACCCGAAAAGTGGACTTGGAGGTAGTCAGTGCCTTGTCCTCTTTAGGTGCTACAATGCACAAGATGTGCAGCGATTTGAGATTACTAGCCAACATGAAAGAGGTCGAGGAACCATTCGAAAAAACACAAATCGGTAGTAGCGCCATGCCGTACAAAAGAAACCCCATGAGGTCGGAACGTTGCTGCGCGCTAGCGCGCCACCTATTAGCGTTGTTTTCGAATGCGGCCAATACACACTCAGTCCAATGGTTCGAACGGACATTGGACGATTCGGCCAATAAGAGACTGACTTTGTCGGAGGCATTTTTGACTGCTGACGCTGCTTTGATGGTACTTGAGAACGTTACACAGGGTCTGGTGGTTTATCCAAAGGTTATCGAACGTCGAATTGGACAGGAGTTGCCTTTCATGTCTGCTGAGAACATTATCATGGCGATGGTTAAAAAGGGAGGGGATAGGCAGATCTGTCATGAAAGGATCAGAGTACTATCACACGAAGCCGGAGCTCAGGTAAAGGAGCACGGAAAGGATAACGATTTCTTGGAAAGAGTGAGAGCTGATGCATATTTTGCACCCATCGTGGGCGAATTAAATGAGCTTCTAAATCCATCGACGTATATAGGATGTGCCCCAGAACAAGTTACCGAGTTCTTAAATGATGAGGTGAAACCAGTTCTCGAAAAATATAAGGAGTACTTGAAAAAACCCAGTTCTGTTACATTGAACATATAAAATTTATCACTTGTTACAGAATAAAACGCTTTTATTTTACGTCTTTATTTTATATAAAAACCTTATGTATACATTTGTATGAGATTATAAAAACAACCACAAGCCATTACTTTTCACAATGATAAGTCAGATTTCCAGGCCCAAAAGCTGAGTTTGTATAAATTTTCAAAATGGGTTGATGCAATAAATAATTAAATGATGACAAAATGCACAAATAAATAAAACTAAGGTCTATGCAAACCTAATCACTAGGGAGAAGAGTATTTTCCAAACAGGCTGGTCCTTGACTTGGCCAGTTGCAAGCGCCAAGGTTGTTATCAAAGGTGAGGTGTACCGGGCAATTGAAAACATGTAGGGTGTACCTATTCTTGGTGCAATCCCACCTGCAGGCGTAGAATTTGTTACACTGCGTTGGATGTCTGAAGAGACCAGCTCTTTGACAATCGATCGTTCCTTGCAATTTTTCGTTTCTGCTCCTCAACCCACCGGGGCCATAACGGTCAAATTTACCGCTTTGTAGAGATACCTTATTGTCAGGAATTTCTTTCGCTAACGCCAAATCGTCCGTAACTGCATTGACAACAACTCCTTCTGATAAATCGGCTATAGGGGTCACAACATTATTCACAAACAGCTCAGCCGCTTGTGTAACAGGTGATACCGTAGATGTTACCGGACGTACACGAACTCGCCTCCTAACAGAGTAAGCTGGAGTTGAAGACGGCTCAATGATTTCATTGGTAGTACTCTTGATGTACACTTCAGGGGTAGGTGTAATTTCAACAATTTTTTGTGGTTCGTATTGATAATTTTCAACGATAACACCCTCGTTACTATCATCCACCACGTAACCATCATCATCGTCGTCATCGTCGACTACAATTCGGATTGGCTTCTTTCTAAGTTTAACCGAGTTGGACACGCAAGTACACTGCGCACCTAATTTTGCTGAAAGTAATGGATGGAAGTCGTTAACTTTAACGATCGTTTTTGGTCTGGCAACTTTTACTATCTTAACTGGTTTTCTATTCAAGACAAGCTTTAAGTCATCGTCTGACGATAAATCGGTACTCACAGGCGTGGTTACTCGCACCCTCGTTCTGACAGGTAAATATTCACGAGATGGCGCTATAATTTCTGGAGCGCTCGTAGTAACTTTAACTCTTGTTCTTACTGGTAGATATTCACGTGCAGGGGTTATAATTTCCGGAGCACTTGTGGTAACACTTATAGGTGCTAAGTAGGATTCAGTAGGGACACTCGTGCTAACCTCAACTGGTAAGTAATCACGTGACGGTGTGGATACCTCGATTGGTGCGACGTAATTTTCAACAACCTGCCCGAAGTTATCGTTTTGTTGATACTCGGTATCTAATGAACTGAATGAGTACTTGGCAATCGGGCGACTTGTCGTTACTACTGAAGGAATAGCGTTCACTCGTACTCGTGGAGCTGTAACTTGAACCGGTGCAACGTAATCATCTACAGTTTTCGAGACTTGGTATTGATCATCGAAGGAACTGAAAGAAAACTTAGAAATGGGTCGACTGGTCGTTACTGTTTCAACGACCGGCAAAGAAGTAGAATATGTGACAGGTCTAACAGTCGAGCCAATTCGACTATCATAGAACGTAAACGGTTGTTTAGTTATGATCGAGTTTATGGTTGAACTAAAAGTAGGTTTTGGAGTCGACTGTACGTAAGTATAATCGACGATAGGTCGTGCTGTTGAGGTTACCACTTTCTGGAAGATCTGTGGTCTGTTTTCAATATAATAAGAGCCAGAATTAGCTGTTTTTGAAACTACAGGTGCTTGGTAGTTTTGAACTACCAAAGGCCTCTCTTCAAACTGAACTGCAGGTTTATCGTAGACATATCCAGAGTCAACGCTGTATTGTTGTTGTTCGTATTCGTACCTCGGCGTTGTGGAAACCACAACTTTGTTTGTCACTTGTGGTACTCTATATTGTTGTTGTTGTTGATATTCGTACCTCGGCGTTGTGGAAACCAAAACTTTATTTGCCACTTGTGGTACTTCGTATTGTTCTTGTTGATATTCGTACCTCGGCGTTGTGGAAATTACGACTTTGTTTGTCACTTCTGGTACTCTGTATTCATAGACTGGTGTTGTGGAAACGACTGGCTGAATGGGAGCCTGATAACTTTCAACCACTACAGGTTTCTGCTCAAGGTTAACAGCATTGAATTGCTGAGTGTACTGATAACTTCCTGCCTGACCACCTGTGACGTACGCTTTCTTAGCAACAAATGGTACTTCTTCAACTGGTTCACGATTTTCGTATGTTGCTACCACAGGTGTTGGGGCTTCAACGAAAGATACGGCAGGTTTAGGATAATCATATCCAGCAAATTCTACAGTTTTTGCAGGTTGTGCGCTGAAGCTGTAACTAGAAACGATAGCTGGCTGTTTCTTTGTAACTACCGGTTTAGGGGTATACGAAATTACGGATTCACCTATAAGAGCAGGTTTAATTGTGGAAGGAGCAGTGTATGAGTAGCTGCTAACTACAGCTGGTTGCTTCTGAAGGAAAACTGCAGATTTTGGCGTAGACGATTCAATGTAAGTAGATACAACTGGTTGTCTTTGAAGGAAAACTGCAGATTTTGGTGTAGATGAGTCAATGTAAGTAGATACAGCTGGTTCTTGAACAATAACAGCAGGTTTTACTGTAGATGGAGCCGTGTAAGTATAGCTTGTTGCAACAGGGGCTACTTTTTGAACAACTGGTTGTTGAACAAAAACAGCAGGTTTTACTGTAGATGGAGCCGTGTAAGTATAGCTTGTTACAACTGGGGCCTCTTTTTGAAGATATACAGCCGGTTTAACTGTTGATGGAGCTACGTAATTATAACTAGAAACCACCGGCTTTTGTTCATAGTTGAATCTTGTAACAGATGCAGGTACTTCTTCAAAAGCAACAGCTGGTTTGTCATAAACGTACCCTTGGTTAACCGTAGACTGTAAAACATTCTTGTAAGTATAAGTATTAACAGCTGGCTTCACTTTTACAGGCGTTTGGTAGTTGTAAGTCGAAATAGCAGGTTGACTCGTAATAACAGTTTTTTGAACTATTGGCTGTTGGTAGGTAACAACTGACGGTTTTTCTTCAAAGGTAACACTAGGCTTTTCGTATCTATATCCCTCATTGTTGCTTGAAATACTGAAACTTGATACAATAGCCGGTTGTGCAATTTTCTGTTGAACCACCGGAGTAACAATAGGTCTGATTGTCGATGATGGTACATTGTAAGTACCAAAATCAATTTGAGCTTGATTAATCTCATGGTTTTGGAAATTTGTAAATGATACAGCGTTTTGTTGAACTGTGGCTGGTGTTGATGACACATAGACTTGTGGAGTTTGCTGAACAACCACAGGTTTAACAGTGGACGATGGCACATTGTACGAAGTTACTTGGAGTTGAGGTTCAACGGTGTAATGCTTTTGGAAGTTTGTAAACGATACTGCGCCTTGTTGTTGGACTACTGGTTGGACTGTAGCTGGTGTTGATGACACATAAACTTGTGGCGATTGTTGAAAAACAACAGGTTTCACAGTCGAAGAAGGTACATTGTAGGATGTAATTTCAAGTTGAGGTTGAACAATTTCTTGCTTAGAAACGGAAATAACTGGTTGCTGTTGAATAATTGGCTGAACAGTTTGAATCGTCGGTTGTACCTGAACAACTGGTTGTACTTGTTCCACTACGGTTAATGGTTTAGGAGTCGATGACGCAGAATGTGTTACAGTAGACACCACAGCCGCCTGATTCACAGTTTTTAGGGGAACTTCTTCAAAAGCAACAGATGGTTTATTGTATGTGTAACCTCTAGTTTTTTGAAGTAAATCAACATTTTGATAACTAAAACTGCCACCTGTCGTCTGTACGGGAGTTTCCTCAAACTTTACAACCGGTTTGGGGTAATCATAACCAACGAAACTGGCGTCTTGTTTCTGTACATTATAAGTAGATACTACCGGTTGTTGAATATGAATTTGCTCAACTAAAGGTGTTTGTACTGTTGAAACGACGGCGGGCTTTTGATACGTGGTTACAATTGGTTGGACATTAATATTTTCTTGAATAATCGGAGATGGAGTTGAAACAACCGTTTTTCCAAATGTTACTACGGGTTGGACATGCTGCACAAATGATGTTGAAACTGGTTTTTGGTATGTCGTTACAACTGGTTGAAGGTTAACTTTTTCAGCAACTAACGGTGTTTGCGTTGTTGAGACAACAAATGGTTTTTGGTATGTTGTTACAATAGGTTGTACACTGGCTACGTTTTGTTGTACCAGGGTACCAGTTGATATAGTTGATCTAAGTGGTTCTTCGATAAATGCTACTGTTGGTTTAGAATAGTGGTAACCATCTTTTGCTAAAATTGTCGATGGCGTAGAAGATACTACATTAATAAAACTGTTTGAGATATTTGTAAAACCAGTATTGCCTCGAGAAGCGGCTAAATTCCCATGTACTTTATATTGCAATTCAGGTACATTCGCAACAACACCTCCATTATAACTCTGGAATCCGGAAGCAGCTTTAATGGCAGGAACAGGTACTGCAGTCACAATCGGTACCGAGGAAACAGTAGCCACGGATACAGGCGACTGAGTAACGTGTGTTATAATATTAGTGTTTTCACCATAGTTAGTAGCTTGTATACCATTGGTGGCGACTCCAACTGCAGAGTATCCGCCTTTGACGATGTTAATCTTACCCCTGGTACCACTTCCGTAATTCGAGCCAATGTTCCCGTGATATTCAAAAGATGGTTGTACATCATCATAAGCTTCTTGCGCATTGTCGGCTACAATTTGTAACTGTTGTCCGTAATTCAAATTTTCAGCAAGTCCATTCACTAAGTGAGCACCGCCATTACTCACATAGCCCGTATTCGCTTGGGTTTTTACTACACCGGCAGTACCAATATTTCCACTGCCTACCAATAATGAACCACCCAAATATCCCGCGTTCGCTTGTGTTTTTACTACACCAACGGCATCACTACTTCCAGTACCCGTCAATAGTGAACCTCCTAAATAGCCTGCATTCGCTTGAGTTTTTACTACACCGACTGCGTCACTACCAGTTACAAATGAACTACCAACATAGCCTGCGTTCCCTTGACTGTTGCCTATAGCAGCAGCATCAATACTTCCAGTACCTGTCAGTAATGAATCTGTTTGATAGTTCAAATTAGTACCGTGCTGAATATTGTTTATTTGTAGATTTGAAGCAGCATTTCCTGAGGCCAGATGCTGATCATAACCATCACCTTGGTATGCTAGTAGAGTATCTCCGGCTTGTGATTTAATAGCTCCTAAGCCACCTGCTTGTTGTAGTTTAACGCCAAATTCAGCACCTTGATAACTTGAGGAACTATCTTGCCCATGTACATATCCTAGTCCCAATCCATCAGTTTGGGTTGTTTTAAGTCCAATGTTGCCACCTACGTTCCCGGTGGAATATTGCAATCCTAATCCGGAACCTTGCAGGCCAGCACCTGCGACGTAGCCACCTTTAAGCAAGCCAGCATTTTGTAAAGATTGTGCAGCATTAAGTGACAGTTGACCACTTCCTGTAAATTTGATTAAGTTAATAGACATGCGACTTTTATTAGTAAACTTAAAAACAACCAACCTGCAATGTATCCTTGTGAAGCATGACCAACATTACTGTAAATCTGAGCAACAGGTTGAACTAACGGTCCGTGAAGACCACCAAGGGCTGTGACTTCCAATACTCCTAAACCGTCGTACTGATCCAGGGCAACTGAGCCAGTTCCTCCATATACTACTTGTGAACCGACAGCATAACCACTACCACATCTCGGGACCAACCACGGCCACTCGCAAAGGAGTCTCGATTCATCATAAACTAATCCGAAGGGGCATCTAAATTCATAGGCAGATAGGGGAGATTTTCCGTGATCTAAACAAGCGAAGAACCAGCGACAGTTTTCAGGATCCGCGTAGTAACCTGTAAGCAAAAATGTGGTATAATTAGTTAAGAGCCGAATCAACTGCTTCTAAGGTAACTATGTAATAGCCGTTAAACCATCATCGCTTAGAAAAATAAATAGGTGATCAAGAGAATTTGCGAAGATTTTCTTCTGTACCGAATAACTAAAAAAAGAAGATGCGATGGCCGAGAATCGAACTCGGATCAACTGCTTGGAAGGCAACTATCCTGACCATTACACCACCATCGCTTACAAGACGAAACAGACGATGAAGAAAGGATGAGAAGACCTTTTTTCGTACCGATTTAATAAAAGAAAAAAAGTTGCGATGGCCGAGAATCGAACTCGGATCAACTGCTTGGAAGGCAACTATGCTGACCATTACACCACCATCGCTTATAAGAAGAAACAGATGATGAAGAAAGCAAGAAAGGATGTGAAGACTTTCTTTCGTACCTATTTAATAAAAGAAAAAAAGTTGCGATGGCCGAGAATCGAACTCGGATCAACTGCTTGGAAGGCAACTATGCTGACCATTCACCACCATCGCTTATAAGAAGAAACAGACGTTGAAGAAAGGATGAGAAGACCTTTTTTCGTACCGATTTAATAAAAGAAAAAAAGTTGCGATGGCCGAGAATCGAACTCGGATCAACTGCTTGGAAGGCAACTATGCTGACCATTACACCACCATCGCTTATAAGAAGAAACAGACGATGAAGAAAGGATGTGAAGACCTTCTTTCGTACCAACTTAATAAAAGAAAAAAAGTTGCGATGGCCGAGAATCGAACTCGGATCAACTGCTTGGAAGGCAACTATGCTGACCATTACACCACCATCGCTTACAAGAACAAACCGATAGTCAAGAGAATCTGTGAAGACTTTCTTATGTATCCATTTACTAAAAAAAGCTGCGATGGCCGAGAATCAAACTCGGATCAACTGCTTGGAAGGCAACTATGCTGACCATTACAGCACCATCGCTTACAAGACGAAACAGACGATGAAGAAAGGATGAGAAGACCTTTTTTCGTACCGATTTAATGAAAGAAAAAAAGTTGCGATGGCCGAGAATCGAACTCGGATCAACTGCTTGGAAGGCAACTATGCTGACCATTACACCACCATCGCTTACAAGAACAAACCGATAGTCAAGAGAATTTGTGAAGACTTTCTTATGTATCCATTTACTAAAAAAAGCTGCGATGGCCGAGAATCGAACTCGGATCAACTGCTTGGAAGGCAACTATGCTGACCATTACACCACCATCGCTTATAAGAGCTAACATATGATAAACAAAATTTATGAAAACATTGGTCCATTCTTTCTTATTAAAAAAGTTGCGATGGCTGAGAAGCAAACTATCATCAACTGCTTGGAAGGCAACGATGTTAGCCGTTATATCGCTTTACATTTAAATTTAAAATATGAAGAGTACCTTAGATCTTAACTCATTTCTTTATAAAATATATAATAATAATAATGTGAAATTGGAACAAATTTTATGAACACTTGTAGTGTTTCTGTTATATTTGTTTATTAAAATTTATTCTAGGTGCAATACCCGTTTAATCAAATAATATATCGTGTTCAAATTAAACCTTTGTCGACGTTAAATCGACGCCGCCAACAAGAAATCGCAAAAAATTGCAACCGTTCCGCTTACTGAAGCCATGTCTACCGAACAATTTGCATAATCACGTTGGGAATTCCCTCTTGGAATGACCACCTTATATACAGAAAGCGAATGCATTAATCTAAATCCTCTCACCTGGCTCATTCGGACAAACAAATCTTTGACGTGGTACGGGTGCAATTTCGCTACTTCCTGAACAGGGTGAGGCATGTGGTAAGCTTCCGGGCCAAACGCATACTTCAACTCGGCTGTCAAAAGCCAAACCTGCAGGACAATCGAATTCGAAAACGCTGAATTCGTCGGACAATTGGTCGAATTTGACGCAACGATAGAAACGACCACAGGAACGTGGATGAACGAAGTATCCTTGACGGGAACACTCAAATTCAGTTCTTGTATCCTAAAAAAAAAAAACAATAATAATAGTATGGGATATTCCATATCAGTAAAACTATGTACATTTGTAATAAAAGTATTAAGATTAGTTTTTAAAATGGGTTTTGAGATTATAACGATAAATGAGATATTTCGTGGCGGTATTATCAGCTGGAAAAACACACCAGATAACCATAAATGAATCCTGTGGATTAAAACAGATGTGTCTGTTAATAATAGACTTTAATTTTTATTGTTATTGTTTTAAAAATATTGACTATTTTTGCTTTTACTAAATAAACGAAGTGAAATGTGAAACGTTTCTAAAATTTAATATTTTAAGTAAAAGTAAAAGAATAAAATAAAATTTCCACATCTTCCAGTGCGCATGGAATAACCCAAACGTATTGAGTTTTACTAAAAAAAGTGTGTATGCGATGGCCGGGAATCGAACCCGGATCAACTGCTTGGAAGGCAACTATGCTGACCATTACACCACCATCGCACTTGAAAACTTACCTTTCTAATTACGTGAACATTGCCTTCAACATCTATTACTCTAGATATTCGGTAAGGCGAAACTTGGACGGTGTCTAGAGGTCGGCCGGGAGTTTCCAAGATCTCTCTTTCCAACGAGTGCAACACAGCGCCTCGAGGGGCGCGAGCTTGACGAGATAAGCCGTTGTACGCTGCTTCTAAGATGGAGCTTTTGCATTTAGTGCCGCCATCTTGCGATAGGTCTTTGAGGGCAATTCCGGCAAGTCCTCGTACCCTTGAATATTTTGCCTTAATGTCGATGCTGGTGGGGTCATCGAAAGCGATCCACTGGTTTTTACTAAAAAAGAATGGAATAATATGAACATAATATATTTGATATAGGTATATCATGGGTAGTTTTTTAATATCTAACACTCTAACAGGGATATTTTTATTTTCTAAATTGTAGAACAATTTTTTTTGTATTTTTTAATTTAATATATTAATTTCAGTCTGGCATGTAGGATACACAATGCACATTAATAACTATAAAAGAAAAACTAAATTAATTCAAATTTTATATTCGTGTTTATTTGAATCATTTAAAGAAGATACTTTATTCCAGTAGTAAAAAACATAAATATCATTTCCGGAAATTACGGCATCGATGTAATTCTGCGTCTACACAGTTTATAGATAAGTATTTTACGTCAATTAACGTAATCAATGTTTTCAAATATGTATTGGGAATAGGTATTAGAGCGGAAGAGGTAGTAAGCACGGCAGTTTAATTTTATTTAAACCAAACATAAATTGAGCTATGTACCATTTAAAAAATAAGCAATACTATATATTTGAGGAACTTATAAACCACACTCTGTCCTCTTTGAAAAGAAAAATTATGTTAACTAACTTCTCTAAATTTCTATATGCACAGATAACAGATATTTCAGTGGGATTTACTGCTTTGTAAAACTGAAAATAGATTTTTTAGATAGATATTTTGTTATATAATGTCCGGGATCCATTAAAAAAATGAGATTACAACCAACACACCTTGGATGGAATAAGTAACCTTGAACCAGACCGGCTGCGAAACCAAACAAGTGTCTGCTGAAATCTCGGAAGAAAAAAATTTAGAAACGACAAAATCTCGCTGATTGTTTTTCCGTCATAAATTCTTCGTTTTCCAAGTTTTCACGTTTTTTTAATTTTCAAAAATCGAAAACAGAAAAACTAGTGTCAAATTAAAAAGATAAAGATGTTTTTGATAAGCGAAACTTGTTTTTATATATATAGCTGTTCCGAAATTAGTAGTTTACTTTAATAAATCAAAAATAGGAAATGAAATGTGTTTTAAATAAACAACTCTCTAGTCTTTGTTCTTTTTTAATGGAATACAAAAACTCTATACTGTACGTGGGTCTATGTTACGTAAGAGTTTCACTGTGAAGAATGTATATAAAGTACGCATTATGTTCAAATAATATAATTAGTAGCACTTTATTGAGAAATTCTGATGCCTCAAGATATATGAAGTTTTCTGCGAAACTGATTAGATGCTATTCCGATTTACGCTGCTATTGGCCACTGCCATGGCCTGTTCAACGAATTCATGGTAGAACGGACACCAGGGGCAATGTCGTATTAGGTGTTTGCTTCTATACTTTTAACCGTGACGAAGTGGAGCACATTGCGAAAGACCATAATCTTATACAATAATTTACCATGACACACCTGCGCGATGCTATATCTGTACCCGAACAATCTTTTGAAATAGTGCGTTATAGGGCACCTTTCATCAACATCAATTAAAAATTTCTTCGCTCCTTTATACAAATACCAATTTGTTAACAACATTCAACAGTCGGCAATGTCTTTTACAATACTAATAATACCACATACCGAATGCGAAAATTAGTTAGTGAATAGAGTTGTAATTTATTTTTTTCGTATTGCTCGAAGCAGGGACACAGTGTTGAAAGTAGAAAGAAAAGCAGAGAGAAATGAAAAATGGGGTTAATGCACTTGCTGTGCTAAAGTTTGTAAAATGTTGTCGCGTAGTGTTTAAAGATGTGTTTTCTTTGAATTTATAACTAGGAGGTTTATCATAAATTAAAAAAGTGACAGCAGCAAATGAATGCAGACGTTAATACTTTATTGGAATTTCCTGTAGTTGCTAAACTACATCTGATGGAATTTCTGCCTGTGTTTTGAATAAAATTCCCGCTGCCGATCGTATCTGTTTACGTAATTGTAATACATAAGAAGAAAAAACCTACATAATAAGGACATTTTTTATTACCGTATATGTAGTTAAACTGTTCTAGTATAGTCACGTGATTTAATGAAGGGACGAACACAAAATTAGACAAAATTTTTGACAGAACATGCCCAAAAATTTTTCCAAATAGTAAAAAATGTAGGTATACTCGAAAAACATTTATGAACTTTTAGGACACCAAGAAATATGAAAATTATGTGTAAAAATGTCAGTATAAAAAATTTAAAGATCATAAAACATAAGTAGTAAATTCAGAAAGGTAAGGCGGGAAGGTGATTGGTTGTAAACACATTTCGTGAATATATTTGTACCTGTTTTTATAAATCATTTAGCTGTAGCTGCAGAAATTAAGTCATTATTTTTTGGCGTTGGTACATAACTTATAATTTTTTTGACAACTTTCTCAATCATGTTGTTAAGCTCACAGTACAACGATTACCTGTTTGTGGCTCTCGCCAATTTAGAATAAATTTTTCCATGCTGTAGAGGACAATAAGGGAAAGTTTGGTGAAGTTGCCAAATTGATAACGGATCTTGTATTATCAAAGCAGGAAATTAAGTTTATTTCCGCAGTTGAGGAATTTTGAACCATTTTTGCCTTTTATTCTTAAATAATGATTTCGAAAATATTTTTTGCCTGCAAGTAACCATTCTTCGTAAAACAAATAAGTATTTGTAGTAATCTGTGAATATTAATTTTAAAAGAAAGATTTCGATAAATTCACATAGGACACATAGTTTTAGAGACAATGAAAATTAAATGTTTAAGTACTTACACGTCTTGTCGTAGAAAATATTTTAATCAAAGAAATTAATTTAAGTTATACAATTGGGAAAACTTCAATAAGCCCTAATATATACTATTTTTGGAGTTTCCGGCAAGCGTCTGAACGACCACCGAGACCTCCCTGAACGGATCAGGATTCATTTTTCAGCCCTTATAAACATTTTCCGTTTGGGTCCTGACTCCAATCTGCTAAGAATTTCTCCGAGTCTGAGGCCATGAAACTATAATAGTTATTTATGTATTAAGAGCATAATTAGGGAGATTATGGCACGAGGGAATGTTTAAAGCCTGAGGGCCACAATCGACAATTATGCCCGTGGTATGTACATACATACATAGGTACAACCTTTTATTCTGTTTTAGTTTCTAAAATATTTTTAACGAAACATTGAGTATTTCCGGCAAGATTGTGTGAATTGTGCCGATGCGAACTTTAGTAAAAATGTTGTATATCGAAGCTTGTTTGAATAGTTAATTAATGTAATTGAATAATCAATCTTTGCTTAGCAATTTTTGACTGATTTGTGCCATAAAGGCCAATTTATGCCCGCATTTGGCTGCTTATAAACAAGATTATGATTCTAAAATAGAATAAATATATAACAGAAAATCTTGGATGAATATTTAAGTAGCTTTAAGGTTTGTGGACTATGCAGTGCAATTACCTACAAAACAAAACACGAACACTGATGACTGAACCCTCAATAAATAACGGTGATAACAACAAATAAGACAATATAATACAAAATTACATCTGGATGAGTAACAATGAAAATTAAACAGCAGGAACAAACAGCACGAGACGGATGAATAATAACCAAAGACAGAAAACTGGACAGAGAACAGGAATCATATGTGTATATGACTTCATTACCTATCAGTTAACAACCTACTTCTTTGTGTTTAAGCAGCCACCCATCCATGGCTTAGTCTTAATACCTATTACTTAATACAAACCACATCAACATATTCTCCTACGGTGACACACGTAACTGGTTGGCTTACGAGCTTTGTTTGTTGATATCGTTTTTGGCGGAGTGGAACAACGTAACTTTGGCTAACGGGGTCAGTGAATCTTGTGGCCTATTTTACATTATATTTACATACTTTACGTAATATACATATTCCTAAATACCGGAAGATATGTTTTTATCAGTCTGGTTGTCTTTAGAAACTACTATTTTTATCAAAGTCAAAATTGGAAGCATTTGGACATTACTCACCATTGGTTTTCACTGGGTTAATGATTATATAATTATAATTACTAGGTGAAGTCAGTGTATAAAAATGTATCTATTGTTTTCTTTATGATAATCCCTATAGGTACTTAAATTAAAATAAAAATATGCGTAAAGTGTTAAAGTACAGATAAAAAAGCATGTTATGCGTATGTTTCAAGTGAATTTTCCAACACAAAATTTTGTGATGACACAAAAGAAGATGTGCAACTCGCATTGGACACACCTTACTTATAGAGTGGAAAAAATTGAGAAAAACCCACCAATAAAACATCGCATTAGACGTAAAAGTGTCCGGAAGGGTTCACTTGAGAATTTAGAGGGCGGAAACTGTAATGGTCGTACCGCCAGCGGCGTTGTTCATTGTCTTGCGATTCCTTCGTGCTTTCACCTGATAGTGGTTCGTTACGTTAAAAAATTTCACTTATGACTCACCTATTCTAAAAAAATATACCTATACAAAAAGATATATTTTTAGAATACTTCCATTTCCGCAACGAAATGAAACTGCACTGGCCAAGCCTATGTGATAGATTGTGATGATTGAACGCGCTCCCCTCAAAATATTTCCAATATATGTATATTCAACACAGCAAAAATAAACAGTCGAAGTATGTAAGTACTGAGACATTGACAAAGCATGCTTTCCCATTGATTATCTGTTTCAAATATGTCATATTCTCCATACTTGTGCGAACTGCTCCCCCTTGGAATTTACGCCCCCATGGCGCAAGTGTTGCGAGGGTGTTATTTACGCCACCGGCTTTTTCTTACATTGTTACTGTTATTATCTATGTTTTTGTTATATATAGAAGTTATCAAAAATAAAATGTTGCAAAATCAAATTGTATGCTTTTCCACAGAAGGGGGATGTATTGGACTCTACTTCAGGGGCGAGGGAAATTCTGTCTAAATAACATTCGACAAATGTTTTCGTTTCTGTAAGCGAACGCTAAATTGCCGTAAAGAATTGTTTATGATTTTTCTCGAATTTTAATTAAAAGCCTAAAATTCCGATAAAAATTGGCAAAAATGGCATCTGTCAACAATAAAAATGACATTGCCGATCGTATTTTAGTAAATTATTATTAAATTGTTAATAACTATTTATTATTTATTAGCTGTTCATTAAAACAAATCAGAACTTAACTGTGATTTAGAAGTTCCTGCACCAAACAATATTTGTTTGGTGCGGGATTTTTGTAAAAAAAATTTTCGAGTTTTTTATACGCTTCTTAACAACATATCATCGCGCATTTTCGTTATTTTTGGATCACCTGTATATGCCAGAAATAAAACGGACGCCAAAAAGGCAGTTGCAGATTTCTCCTGACTTTATTATTTCGAATTTGTTATAAGAAGAAAACCGATCAAATTCCGAAGATTTGGAAAGAAACGAATTTTAAAAATTTTTTCACACTTTTTTCATGAATTGATGAAACATGTACACAAACTGCTCCAACGGTTTGGCATAAAATTTACAACTATTTTTAAAAATACAAGAGTTCGATTTAAAGGTTATACATCAAACTTGTGTTCTGACTTCCTGATCCTAAGCTAATTAGGTTTAGATCTTCATGAAAAACCAAAAAAAGTACATCTTTTTTTTAATAAAATAGTCACAGATAATTCATTTTGTTTTTACCTGTCCAAATATTTTTTTTTTTCGTATATTTTTAACACTCTCTAGTCGTATGTAGATGTGAAATTAATAAAATAAACTAGTTATAACAGAATATTATTTATCTTTCTGTTTGTATCAGAAGTTTTTTTATTGTATCTGTCTGCTTTTTTGTTATTAACAAAATAATCGTAAGTATTTGTAAGAAATTACCTAAAGATATAAGGCCCAGCTTGATCTTGATCCCTTTCCAATGTCCAATTCCCTCCATTTCCCATAACATTGCACAACTCATCTCTAGTAATCGACTGCACCTCCAAAGCCGGACTTCCCGGAGCGGTGTGCTTCTCACTTTGAAGTTTGAACTTGAAAGCCTGAACTGGCGATGTAATTACCAACTTCGACAAGGGCGCTCCCAAACCGCTAACCAAATCCACCACGGAATCCTAGAAAAAAGTAGCATTGATCAAAACGTGTCTTAGTCCGCCCATACTCTTATTTTTCAAACAAATAGGTAATCATTAACTGCGATAACCCGGATCTTGATGAATATTTATGGTGACATGGCAACTGTTTGCGAGGTTGTTATACCCGAGTCCTTTTAAGGATAATTGTGCAACCGCATGAGCTGTACTTCGTCTGGACACTGGTGTAAAAGGATAAGAGGTGTAGGTGTATTATTTTTACGTTTATTTATGCGTTGTGGTACTCCTTCTGCAAAAGTATGGCCTTCGTGAAATGTTGATTTGGTAAAATGACTTTTGTTACCTAACGTATGTTGTTTCTATTCTGATTCAGTGTGTTACCGATTGGTATTAAAACGTCAAGGAAATAAATCATGCAGTGCCCAAAAAGGCAGGACCTTGACTTATAAATAATGGTAGTGTGTGGATGGTTTCTCTCGGTACATTTGCAACGAATTAATTTTATTTTTTACAAATTTAAATAGTGTGTGCCCATTGTGGTGCAAATTAACCTCGCCTTGTCCATAAAAATATGAAATATGAGAAATATCGAGAATTTATTAACGAGGTGTCAGATTGCTAGAATGCACGTATCGGTAATTTTGTGGGAGCATTTTTTTCTGGAAATGATAATTTGTTTAAAGTGACCATAATTTACAGCATAATGACATAAATTAACAAGCGATCAAAAAACCCTCTAGTCTAGTAATCTAGTTGATCGTGTTTTTTTTTTCGGGAACACAGGTCTTAGAGAACGACCCGTCGTCACTGTAACATCCTGTCGTTTGAATTTCCCTACTTTATTTAGTTACTTGTGTATTAAAAGGTGGGTTAGGAAATGTTTATAAGCCGATGGTGGCCATTTTCATCATTTATTATTACAAATTTATTAATGAAACACATTAACAAACGAAATTAATTTTAATTCAAGTTTGCATCATATAAATGCAGACATACGATTTAAAAATTAGAGAGCTTTTTTATTGCTTGTTATGTACATCTCTTGTACGACACTTATTGAAAAACAGGTTCCTCAAATTTACCGAGATTATAGTTTTATAACTAAAAATAATAAAAATAATGACTCAAAAATATTTGAATTTTGTTTTTCATAAAAATTTCATTCTACGGCTTAGATCTTATATTTTTCGCTCTGTGTCAGTACCCATGTTTCGCAGCCATAAGTAAGTATTGACCTGTCTATTGCTTTATACATTTTCATTTTTATGTGCTTTGTAATCTCTTTTTTATTTATAAATTTCCTGCTCATTGCATAATGAACTTGATTTGTGCTTTGAATTCTTTTATTTATTTTAACCAAACTTTTTTACCTACTCTATTTCTGTTCACCCAATTGGATCTGTATAGCATTCTCTTCTCTTGAAATTGATAAAACTTTTATTGTTTTTATATTTATTTTCATTCCATGCTTTATAAGATTATAAGAGATTTTCGTTCCATACTTTAAGGTTCTCTTATATCTCGTTCTAATTTCATAATTAGCTCAGGTTATCTCCGTATCTGACACCTTCTATTTTAAGGGTTTCAGAGTTTCAGGTATTAGGTTTTTACAAATTACGTAGATATCTAGTCGTTAATTTTGACCCATTTATTTCATCACTTCAGATGTGCCCATTTTTTAATAAGTCTTGATCCCGGTCTTTCCCTCTTCCAATATTATTCCCTCCTCAACTGTGTTATCGTTATCCTCATTTTGGTTTTGTTTTTTTATTTCTACAATGTTTCCTAAGCTTAGCAAATTTTGAAAATACTCTCCCAATGTTCCATGATTTCTTGTTTTCCAGTTAAAATTTCTCCTTGAGCACTTTTTATTGTAGTGTTTCCTGTTTTGCTGTTTTTGAGATTTTTTAGCACTTATAGAATAAGTTTTGATTTATTTTGCTGTTTTTCAATTTTATCCCCAAATTCTCTTCAACTACTTTGCGTAGATTCACACATTAAATTCTTTTTTGCTTTGTTTTTTGTGTCGTTTATAATTTGTTTCTGTTTCGTTATTTAAATAATATTTCCAAGTTTTATTTTGTAGCTAATTTCATATTTCATGTTATCTATGCACCATGCACTTTGTTTATACTTATTAGTTTTCTGATATACCCCACATAATTTAACAAAATGTGCTTGAATATTTCCAATTTTTCTTCCCCCCTAACTTTGATATTTGCATTGTTTTCCTGTTTCCCTGTTCTACTAACACGTACTTAGTCTATTATTATAGATTTTTCTGCTCTGTTGTATTCTTCCCCCGAATACTTCCTTTTCCTCTACATGTTTTGTTATTACATTACTATTGTATTGCTCTAGTTCCTTTCGTCTATTCTGCCATTAAAATCTTTCGTTATGTACAAGATCTCTTTTCCATTCTTTATTGTCAGTTGTTCTTCTCAAAATTTGTCTTTAATATCGGCTTTCTCGTTTTCGTTTGAACCATATGGTGTTACTAATGTTCTTCGAAATCCATAAGTTTTTCAGTTCTATCGTAAATATTCCTTACTATCTTTCTCATTTATCAATATTATTTGGCCATTTCTTCTGAATTGTGCAGCCTACTCCTGCCTCAGCTCTCATATTTTCTTCAACGGCAATACGAGTATATATAATTATAATTTGTTTCTGTTTCGTTATTTAAATAATATTTCCAAGTTTTATTTTGTAGCTAATTTCATATTTCATGTTATCTATGCACCATGCACTTTGTTTATACTTATTAGTTTTCTGATATATATCCGTCTTCCAATCCTACCTTTTCTGGACCTTTTTTTTTTGTTTCTGTTATAGTTAATATGTCTGACTTCTGTTTTAAAAATTCTTCTAGTAGTTCGTTAACTTTGCTTCCTATACTTTTATATTCCACCTTGCCAATTTCCATACAGATGTAATTTTTTGTCTTTCTTTCCGATATTTCCTGTCTCCTTTTTTGTTTTTCTCGATTCTCCCATTCATTGTTTCATTCCTATTCCTTTTTCTCGCTTGTCCGTCATCGCAATCCTTTCGATTTTATCATGTTTTAGGTTTTGGGGTCGACCTCTCATTGTCGTTGTCAATTTCTTTGAATCTCTTGTTCTGGTTATTGCGTTTCAATTTTTTGGATTCAGTTACGTTTTGATAGCCGATCTCAACTGTATTTCCATAACCCTTTTTATATCTTTGCTTTGTACCTTATAAACTTGTGTATTGTATTTTCCTCCCATTTTTGGTTAAGTTAATAATTAATCCTTTTCCGTTTAAGATACTAGTCTTTTCCTTTATTTTTAATAATTACCATCTTTGTTTCAAACTTGCTCAGTTCGATTATAGACATAGATATTAAGTATAATTTATTTTTTGCGCTGTTTGTACTTTTAAGAAGTCTCACATTGTATGTTTCAATTTATCATTATTTTTATTGTTTATTTTTTTCCCATAATCACCAAGTTGTGCTTTATTTTATCTTTTTCTATCCCTTCCACTCTTTGTTCAAGAAATTTCAGCTGTTCTACTCTGCTTTTCAGATGAATGATTTCTGTGTTCAATATCTTGTTCTGTTGCTTTAACATCGCGTTCTGATTCTCCATCTCATTTTTCAAATTTCTTGAAATATTTAGGAAGAGTAAGTGCTATGTAGATCCTGAACCGATAGATGCAGAAATGTACAATGTACAAAGAAGAATTACAAATAGAATCAATAAAAAAGCACAATGAGATGCGACGTTGATAAATTTTTTCTTGAAATTTTGTGGCAATGGAAGGGTTCACAAAAAAATCGCAATAGAGTTATTTTTAAAATACGTCTTACAATATATCGTGGAAGGATAATTAAAGGTACGCCGTAATAACTTTCAAATGCCGATATTTTATTTTACACACCCAACAGTTAGAACACACTCTATTTTTAATTCTCCCCAAAATATTGCAACAGAAATGTTAAAAATAATCCTACTACTTTTTTGTAAACCCTTCCATTGCTAAAAAAATCAAGAAAATTTGGAAAAACGTAGCAACGTCGCATTAGTATTAAAAAAAAAAACTGTAGGTGTAAATCCTGGGAAGAGGCCAATAAAAATATATAAAAGTAGAACACTGTGTAGTTGAAAATAATTTTAGAATAGGGTCATCAAAGACCCGTACAACTTTAGTCTTTGACTTTTATTTCTAATAACTAATGAGTAGAGCTGTGCGGTTGAAATTTAAACGCTGCGAATTGACACCCACTCCGGCAGGCCATAGGCTTGCAACCGACGTTATGTATCGCGAAGAAAATTACGCGAAAAATAATGTTAACGGCATGTCAGTTGATGATTTTAAAATCCATATTCACGAAATAAGAGTAATCATAATTTTAATAATGTTCAGGTGTCCGTCTCGCTGACAATAAAACTATTTGTGTGAATTATCAAAAATAATCCACAACTGAAAAGCGAGAAGCGAGCAAGGCAAGGCTGTGTAGCCATCGGCACTGTGGGCCGATAGTGGGGATAAATAAATTTCAACCGCACAGCTCTACTAATGAGATATCGAGGAAAGTGCGCTTGGTCACTCACTCTATATATATGTAATATTAATAAAAAAGACATTAATAAAAAATACTCGCGAGTGTAGTGTAGAGTTATATAAAAAATCGCAATAATACAAAACTGATAATACAAATGTTAAATTTATATCATTCTATCAAAGTCCGAGCCTTCTCAATAAAAATTTTATTTAACATAATAATGTATCATAACTCAATTACATAAGACTACTTTATCAACCAATTATCTAAGAGTACGAAGCACCACTCATACTCGTAAAAATTAAGGCCTTTTTTATAGTCTTTTAAACAGTTTTATAAATATAGTACAACTCCTATTAGTTACAAATGTTGGTTTTGCAAAATAGTAGAAACTACTGAATTCTCCACAAATAAATAACTTTCCAAATACTTTACAGGATCTGCGCTCGTATGCAAGTTCAATTAAACTTCCAGTTGTAGTATTTACGTGTTTCAACTCAATCTAGTAGCAATTCTTAGAAAATTACCTAACCTTAATGACCACAGTGTACAATTTTTAACTAGAATAAACCTGAAGTGTATTAATTTTATTTTTTTTAGGTCTTTGTATTGGATGTATTTACCTTCTTTAATGCAAACATAATTTTATTATCGAGAAATTTTTTGGGATATGACCATCAAGCCACTTCAGTCAATATTTTAAATACAGCTAAAAAGTCACCTGCTAGGTCAAAAAAGTGAAAAAACTACAGGGCTTCCATAAATCTTGCTGACAATTGAAAATTTTCTTAGTAGATATTTGTAAAGTTTTAGTTTTTAATTATGACATCTGAACTTTCGTCGGCAATATACTCAATATACATACTCCAAAATACGCCAAAAATTTAGGTACCGCCTTGGAATTAAAATCATTTATGAGAGCTCTGTATAAATTTAAATAAGATGTTATTAATGTCAATTGTATAATGGTTTTTCTTGACGGTATTTGAACTTCTCTCATTTCTTAGTATTTGGAAACATTTTTTTTTTAGAAAATGTTAAGGTAAATCATGTGAAAATCAGAAATGCAGAACTTTTTTAATTCTGTTTTTCTTCATTATTATTGTAATTTCTTGCAAGTTTTATATGTTTTGTTCTCTTCTTATATCGTCATATAAAAAAAAAATTGCAACTCTGTAGAGAACTACGTGAAAAAAAAACTCAGTATAGTGTTGAATTGGTGAATAGCTAATTTTTGTTTTCTCGATGTTTCATAGCTCCTAGAATATGAATAATTAGGGCTCCCGTTTCTATCTAGTTATAGTTTATCTGCTTACAATACTAACATAGAAATATGTAATTTCCGACACTAGAAATATTTTAAGAACATCGTTTCACTAAAAAATTGGATTTGCTTGAGTGTGCTTCAGGAGCAAGGGAAATTCTGTCTAAATAACTTTATATCAGATAATAGTGAAATTCAGATAAGTATATATTTCACCCTTGGCTGTATAGTATCTAATAATTCAACATTCTTCATAAATTAACATGAAGTTGTCGTAAATGTAATAAGTTAATAACAAATATAGTTCTTGTTTAAACAAGCGACGAAAATAAATTCCTACTAATGTCCACCGTATTCTGATGTCATTCAAGATTCTAATATACTGTTTGTAATTTTTATCTTATATTGTTCGATTTTATTTTCAAATAAAGGTATTTTTCCAGAACATGACATGTATCTACGAAAAGAAACAGACAAGTGCGCGGAAATAGGAAACTAACATTTCCGTATTCTACAGGTTGTCAAACCGTAAGAAAACATGAAATTAATTATTAGTCAAAATAACTTAACTGTATTTACTGCTCGAGAATTGAAAATAACGTAAAAAATACCACTCATTCAAAATCATCAATGCCATAATTAAATAGAGTCCTGTTGGAAGTATTTTTTTTTATCATTTACATTATATATTTTTCGAATTTTAAGCTGTAACGCTTTCTCAGGTTACACACAATTACTTACAAACTATAATTCACTCACTCCACTGTTACATAAGCAATTAAGGTATTACAGAATTATTTAAACAGCTTAAAATTTTTAGTAGACCATGAAGTCATTTGTAGCATATTAGTGGTAATAACACAGATACCAGGTTTTAAAATTCTGCAATATTTTTAACAACTGAATTAATTTCTCAAATCATAAATTTTATGTATCTTATTGTAAGCGTGAAACCGTTTAAAATATAAAAATGTGTTTTTGACAACAGCCATACGACTCATATTATGTGCTCTGGTGGTGGCAAAAATACTTCTCAAACATCAGAAATAACTATTTTTTGGAAAATCTGAAATTTTTTGAACTAATTTTTTAGTAGATGCATAGAAGAGAAAATATGTATTATACTCCTATTATTTTACTATTATTTTTCAAAAGTAGAAAAATATCGGAAGAAAAAATTAAGACTCGTACTGATATGAGAATGTTTATCACACTTACAATATTTTTCAAATAAAATACTAATAAACATTTATTTCCATCAGGTACCTATGCATGTACTGTTAAATCAAATAATGTAAAAATTACTAAAGCACAAAAAAAATAGAAATCACAAAGACGTAACGTAAGTAATTTTCAGTAAATAAAAATCACAACGAAATAAAAAATTGCGTTTGACTGACGAAATGGCTATTTGTGGTCTTTGTTTTATATCTCACAAAACTCATTTTCATAAATTGGCTTCATCATTTATAAATAGAAAGTGAATGTTTAAAGTTTACCAGTCCCATCTTCCCCTAATACCATTTAACAAAAACCGTAAACGATTCAGGTCAATTACCAACTTAAAATATGAACTACGAAACCAAACCAATCTATTCTACTACACCATTGTTTTAATATCACATTAATTAAGAAAATGTTTATTAAATTTTTTATCACCTTCTCGTTGAATATATTTTCGAATGATGAAACAACAATAGATTACATCACCGTATGAATTTATTTTTTAAACTCAGCTTTTCTCTATCACCCACATGCAGATGTACATTTTTCATACAATAGCGAGTGAAGGTGAATTTTCAATTAATATTATTCACATTCATCAGAAAGCCGATACCAACCTTCATGATAGCGCGAGATTAGCCGACAAAACAGTTCTGCTTCAGTTAGCATAGTACTATGTATTGTTGCAACTCATTCAGCTATTTCAAGTAGATGATCTCTCACAATGAATTAAGTCATAAACCGGAAAAAAACTCAAAATTTCCATCTCACCCTAGTGAGAGTTTGATGACACCTATAAACACCGGAAGAATTTCGCTCCAGATTTTGCCATTAGTCACGTTTAAAAATACATTTGAAATTTTAATGAAAAAAACGTTTTACTTTCACCGGAGTCTTAACCTTGATCATATTAATAATCTTCCATCATTTATTTTGTACATTGCGTAATAAAACTGATTGATCTTACCGTGTTCTGCATATCCCAAAGTCCGGAAAGACGGCTAGGATGGAAAGTGACATTTTTGGAAGCGCCGAGGAAAGCTGTTTGCAGGATGAACAAATCCGCATTTTTGCTGAGAGTTTTGAAGTCGTAATATTTTGCTAACGTCTCGGAAATTGCGGGTACGGAAAGAACGATGTAAAGATCGGATCCTAATTTACTCCTGACCGTTGAAATAAAATCGGAGATGTCGTTCTTCGAATCCAGTTTCTTCAGGTTGATTTCTATACCATCCACTTTACTGCTTTTGAGTATGTTGACCAATCCCTGGAAATGAATAATAAAGTTAAATGAAAGTCATGACAGGTGGAAGTTTTGCGATTGTAACTGGATTTGCACGTTGCAAAAATTAAGTAAGAGGTTGTTACAAAGTTTCTTTTATTGTTTGGGCATGAAACACTGATATGTTTATTTCAATGCTGTAGTAAATAAATAATTAATAAAACCATTTCATAAAAATAATTACAACTAATAGTTCAATTAATGTATTGTTGTAGCTAATAAGGCAACGTAAATTGTGTAACTTAATCAGCCTTTAAAAATTGCCCATAATGATTATCCTCGATTTATGTTTTTAAATCGATATGTTGCTAAAACATCCATCGTATTTATTTAGCAAAAGAAAAAGATTAGTTCTATTGCTCAACCTCTTTGAATTATTGGACCGTGGTATTTAAGCTTCAATATTTTTTAATAATAGGGTTTTAATGATTAAATCATAAATCGTAATTTAGAGATTTCAAACATTAATCAAAAGATGTGAATTAAAAAAACATTAATCACATAATAATTAGTTCTACAAAGGAGAAAGTATTCCTATTCACCCCTGTGTTTATACTAAGTCAAGCACCGCGCACCATACGAAGATGAACGGATAAATTATGTTTAAAAAAATATTTCGTTAGGACCAGAAAGAAAATTGCTGGACGAGATAAAGTCGAGTTCGTCTATCTTACGAGACCCGAAAATGCTTCATTTGAACAAATAAAACACACATATGACTGACTGCGGGCTTTAGAAAAAAATTGATTTGAAAAGTAATGCCATCAAAATTGCAAGTGAAGTTTCAAGATTTATAATCTTGCCATTTGGGCTTTTTAAAATGGTGTAATTCTTTATTAAATTCGAAAAATAACATCAGAGATTATCGTAAAATGATGGACCGAGAACATTTTCAAAATTGGGTTGTTAATCAGCTTATTCCTGATTTGAGTAAGTTGAAACAAATGTGTGGTGGTAATGGATAATGCACCACAACATTCGTTGCAGTTTCTAGTTATGCATGTTTCGGGTCAATTTACAATAATCTGACATTTTTTGCGTTGATACACCTTTATTTTTTGTGTAGTGGCAATAATGATCTAAATGATTTATTGTGGAGCAATTATTTCCGACGAGGCGAAGCAATCGTTAGAGATTACTAAAGGCGTTTCGCAAACCACATCATACAATTTTTATGCAAGTGCATTTTAACAATAAAATAGTTTGGTAGAACTGATTTACTTATTACTTCACTAAATTATCGCTTTCATTTCTTGAACGAAGCCCGAACTGTCACTTCTTCAAAACTGTCTTCATTTTCGCTTGAAACTAGAGATGTTAGTCATATAATTACCGTTGAAAGTGCTAATCAATTGTCAAGGAAACTCACTAATTAATTACTTATCGTAAAAGTTCTAAATCGGTAATGCCTGCCATTATTGTTTTTGTAAAAATCAATTACCATTGGTTTTGAAAGAACTAAACAAGTAAGGATAATGGGGTAACGGTCTACAAAATCAGCATGATAAAAAGAAGATATGAAGTAAAATGAAACAATTACTCTCAATTTGCCAGTGTTCTCTGATATTATTAAAGTACATGCTACAGAATAAATAACTGGCACTGCAATAAATCGTAATCGAAACAAAGAACATGACAGTGATTCAGTTTGTAAATAATCCATTAATCAACTAAGCTTTTATGTGAACATTGTCTGCTATAACGTAAAATTAAAGATGTGTGTATTGTCTGCAGAAGTTTGTTGGTCAAATACGTGCTGTGTAAGTTATATACACTGGCGACTTTTGCTTGTGAAAAGTGAAGTGTAGATTGACAGAAATTACTAATGAAAAATGAGATCACAGATCTGATTCGTACATATTGTAATTATTATTATTATTAAAAACGTTTTAAAATGAACTACAAATTACACGTAAACCGGTAGTGAGCTAAATTTTTAATTCATTTCAAAAAGAAAAATATATTTTCCTAAGGATAGTGAAAATTACAAGTTTTTGTAATGTCGTGGTGTTCAAATTAAAACAATTTAAAACGTTGCGAAATATACGTGTGACATAACAGGGAAATACCATAAAACTCGAACTCAATCAACAGTCATTGTACTATTTACGGGAACGTACCTGTTGAAGTATATTTAATTCCAAGAATAATTTAAAATCTCAAATATTTACTACGTCAAAAAATCCATCGCTTCGGGGTAAGAGCATGTAAACATCATGTGAATGTGAAAGACCTCAGAAAGTAGAATGCGTTTCGCCCGAATTTGATACGAAACGACAATTTCTTTTTTACATTTTTTTTGTTTTTGTTTTTAAAAGTACTGTTTTGCGCGAAATAAAATCACCTTTTACTCGTAGTTACACGGTTTATTTAATAACGCACAAATAATATAAAAATTGCCGGTCTCTCGGGTCGGCACGTCTTTACCCTCACGATACTTCTCGACGACTCCCCGAGAGAGTGAAATAATAAAAATTAGGTAAACTACCCTAAAACGGGTGGGAGTAGGGTGGACAAATTGGCTACGCCCAAACCCCTGTTCAGGTAAACTGAACATAGTCCCCCCGTTGAAGTACTAACTTCAAGGATGACCTACTTATTGAGATAAATAATACATAATAATAAAGAAACAAAAAATGCCTAATTAAATGAATACATGTCAACTAAGATCATACAACAGGAATTAAATTAAAATTAACAAGAGTACAATAATAAAATGAAATATATATACACATGTATAGCCTAATTGCGCATTACATTAGTAATGGGCTCAATTTCCGCACTGATCTTTGCACTATCCCGTTTCTGGTTCGCACTGACACAGTCCTTATTTCACCATCGCGACCTGGATGTACGATTTCAACCCGACCGAGACACCAACACAACGGGGGAGCGTTATCCTCGTGCACGATGACGATGTCGCCCACATCAGGTTCGGTAAGTGACGTAAGTGCAGTACCGATCAAAAAAATGGCCAGGGGTGAGTACGGATAGATCGTCGGGATTTGAGGATACTGGGAGTTATAGGTTGAGAGTTAAGACACGCCTCGATCAATGTCAAATAGGTATACATTCCTTCATATGTGAACAATGACTGCCCTACAACTCGTTTTACATGATATTTAATGGTCTTAATACTTGCTTCCCAAATTCCACCAACGTGTGGTGACCGAGGTGGGATAAAATGCATCAGATTTAATAACACCGAAATGTATGACTCGTAATCCGCGATTGGCTCCCTTAAAATTTGATGCTGACGAAGTACAGTCGATAACTATTTCTAGGTAAATTGCCTTGGTGGCAAAACAAATAAACAAACAAATATAAGCCTTTATAGACTTTTTTCCACGACCCCTCCCTTCTCGAATTAGTAAATTATCGTCTAGAAAGGGGTTTAATTTGATTAAAGGAGTAGATTTTGGTAAGGCATTACCTTTTATGAGACACTTGAATTCCTCAGGAAATGATTCCTGTTGGACTATTTTAATAATAACGTTGCGATTATTTTCAATTTCCTTTACAGTTAGTGCGCTATTTACAGTTTGTCTATATTTGACTCTGTTGTAAAATCGTAAACAAAAGGCTACTACGCTTATTAATTTTGAAAATGATGAGTACCTTAATAATAAATCTGATGGTGATTGACCTTTATTGTGTACTACTGCCTTTGAATAGACGGTCTGACGTCGTTCTTCAATTTCGAAAATAATATTTGTTAGTACCTTAAGATCATTCGAATGTGTGATATTTTCACGTAATAACATTTGATATAAAAACGAATGGATTTTTGGACCAATTAATAACTCGTCATTTAAGCTTTTATAATTATATGATCTAAATGATATGTCAAACAAAATACGTAATTGTCTCGTGGTACTTTCTTTAAGAACACCGTGGTGTGGTAAATAATAACTACGTGGATTATCAATTTCGTCTTCAGGTACTTGTTCCGCATGACCTGGTTGTAAATAGTTTGTAATTACTGCCGAAAAGGATAATTTAAAATTCTCGTCCTTTCGGAATTTGCATTCTAAAGATTTAGAACGTTTTATGGCCCCTTCCCGAGAAGTACCTAAGTTTGGGTTTTCCGCCTTGAACGGAAGTGGTACCGAATACCTTCCCATTTCTAAGCGTTTATGACCCTTCATAAATTTCTTTTCGCATAGGATTTCGTCGGCCGATTGAAGTTTTACGGAAGTTTTAAATTCATCTAATTGCCAAAACTTTCCAACCATCTGTTCTAGGACGGGTTGGACATAATAAGAAGAACCCTGTTTTACAACCCCCGGATTATCTCCATGAGCATTAACCACTACCCAACCGAATTTAGTTTCCTGTAGAATAAAATCCTTATTCAAACATTTCCGATTAGGCTCTAAAATTTCGAAGAAGGCTTGAGCACCTAACAATAAATCTATCGTCCCTTTGACATGAAATGCGGGATCTGCTAATTTTATGTGGTGCGGAAACTCTAAATTAGCGATTGAAAATGACGTGGATGGTAAAAATTCCGAGATCTGTGGCAAAATGACACATGAAAGGTTCAAATCATAGTGTTGGTAATTAGAATGAATTTTGATACTTGCTAATTGTGAGGCACTAGTATTACAACGATTGACACCAGCGATTGACAAAACGATCGGTTGTGATTTAAGATTTAATAATTTTGACATTCGCTCTGAAATAAAATTTAATTCGGAGCCGCTATCTAACAGTGCCCTCACTTGATGTTTATTTCCCGATTTATCATAAATTTGTACCTGGGCTGTTGGAAGTACAACCTTACTAAAATAAACTTGTCGAGAATTTACCTTAAGAACAACGGATTGATCTGATTCGACTTGATTATTTTCACTGCTCGTACTTGGTATTTCGTTTGGCTCGGGATTATCTACATGTAACAACGCATTGTGATGTCCTTTACAAATTTTACAGACATACGACGATTTACATTCCGCAACCGTATGACTGTTCTGAAAACAATT